AAAACTTCCAGTGAAACCCAGTTTCACAGGATCCCAGGTGCTGGTGCTGGATACCAAAAGCAAGTGTCAGTATGTTGACCAAAACGTTGACGTTTTGACTTTCAAGTCGTTTCAATCGACTTGAGAATGGTCCAGGACGGACCGAAATGTCGTCGTCCCTTCACCTTCTAGTGTGTGGTCTTGTCAACATACTTTAGCCACATTATTGTGACTCATCGCCTGCAAGTGTCAGTAATTGTAAATGAGAGTAAAGCATGCAGACGCACCTTGCACATTAAAATCAGGAACAAAGGGTTAGCCGGAGATATGATGTCAGGGTGGAGGGATGCTTGGAGAACCTCAAGCTTCTAGGCCTGTTACTGCTTATAGTTCTATGTGCATGACACACATGAAGACATGCATTTGTACATTATATGATTACATACATTGTTAATGGGAACAGTAAAAGGGGAGAAAAATTCTGAAGTGCTGCCAAAAGACCTTGACAAACTAATGTACAGGAGTGGGTGGGCAAATGGCTGCTTGAGTTCAAACTCAACAAGTGTAAGGTAACGAAGAAAGGGATAGGTGACAGGGGACCAGAAGAAATCTGCTTCATACGAGAAAGGCAACCAAAAAAATTTTAGATTTAAAGACTGGGAATAGATATAAATCCATTACTGACACACACACACACACACACACACATATCATTGTGACCTGTATACACATACATATATGACACATAGACCTGTATCATTGACAAGTGTAATAGTGAAAGTATTGGAAAAGCTAATCAAAACTAAATGGGTAGAACACCTGGAGAGAAATGATATAATATCAGACAGACAGTATGGTTTTCGATCAGGAAGATCCTGTGTATCGAATTTACTGTTTCTATGATCGGGCCACAGAGATATTACAGGAAAGAGATGGCTGGGTTGACTGCATCTATCTGGACCTAAAAAAGGCTTTCGACAGAGTTCCACATAAGAGGTTGTTCTGGAAACTGGAAAATATTGGAGGGGTGACAGGTAAGCTTCTATCATGGATGAAAAATTTTCTGACTGATAGAAAAATGAGGGCAGTAATCAGAGGCAATGTATCGGAATGGAGAAATGTCACAAGTGGAGTACCACAGTGTTCAGTTCTTGCACCAGTGATGTTTATTGTGTACATAAATGATCTACCAGTTGGTATACAGAATTATATGAACATGTTTGCTGATGATGCTAAGATAATAGGAAGGATAAGAAATTTAGATGATTGTCATGCCCTTCAAGAAGACCTGGACAAAATAAGTATATGGAGCACCACTTGGCAAATGGAATTTAATGTTAATAAATGTCATGTTATGGAATGTGGAATAGGAGAACATAGACCCCACACAACCTATATATTATGTGAGAAATCTTTAAAGAATTCTGATAAAGAAAGAGATCTAGGAGTGGTTCTAGATAGAAAACTATCACCTGAGGACCACATTAAGAATATTGTGCAAGGAGCCTATGCAATGCTTTCTAACTTCAGAATTGCATTTAAATACATGGATGGCGATATACTAAAGAAATTGTTCATGACTTTTGTTAGGCCAAAGCTAGAATATGCAGCTGTTGTGTGGTGCCCATATCTTAAGAAGCACATCAACAAACTGGAAAAGGTGCAAAGACATGCTACTAAGTGGCTCCCAGAACTGAAGGGCAAGAGCTACGAGGAGAGGTTAGAAGCATTAAATATGCCAAAACTAGAAGACAGAAGAAAAAGAGGTGATATGATCACTACGTACAAAATAGTAACAGGAATTGATAAAATCGACAGGGAAGACTTCCTGAGACCTGGAACTTCAAGAACAAGAGGCCATAGATTTAAACTAGCTAAACACAGATGCCGAAGAAATATAAGAAAATTCACCTTCGCAAATAGAGTGGTAGACGGTTGGAACAAGTTAAGTGAGAAGGTGGTGGAGGCCAAGACCGTCAGTAGTTTCAAAGCGTTATATGACAAAGAGTGCTGGGAAGACGGGACACCACGAGCGTAGCTCTCATCCTGTAACTACACTTAGGTAATTACACTTAGGTAATTACATACAGCTGAGTGGACAACGTTTGGGGGGTCGTAGTCCTAATGGCCCTGATTCAATTCCTGGCAGAAGAAAAAGTGGTGATATGATCACCACTTACAAAATACTAACAGGAATCAACCAAATTGACAAAGAGGAATTCCTCAAACCAGCAACTTCATGAACAAGAGGACACAGATTCAAGCTAAAGAAACAAAGGTGCCAAAAAAATATTAGAAAGTTTTCTTTTGCAAACAGTGGTAGATGCTTAGAACAATTAAATGAGAAGGTGGTGGAGGCCAAACCCATCAGTAGTTTCAAAGCACTATATGACAGAGTACTGGGAAGACAGGATAGAAAGCTGGTAAGCAAAAGTACTTTACAGGGTTTTTATTGTTTAGAATCTAAACAAAGACTGCACAATTTATGCAGCCTGTGAGAGACCAGTAGTAGTATATTAAACAAAAAAAAATCTGCATGCTGTATTTTTATTTTCCATCAAAAATGACTGGTGGGAAGGAGTCCTTAAATTACAAGTTATCAAAACACTTCAGAAATCCAGTACAGTAGAGGACATCTTGAGGACAGCAGTTCAGTATATTAATTAATTACTGTACTGTAATTGCTCAGCCAAATCCTGTAGCTAGGGTTTTATGATAGTGGAAATTATATTAAAAATGGATTGACAAGTTCAATATTCTTTGAATGAAACTTTTGATAGCTCCCCATAAATGACTTCTTTAGAAACTACAAAACACTGGGAGAATACAAAACTTATTACAGTGGTTGATAGATAGAAATATATATATATACAGTAATATATATAATATACAGTATATATATACACACATATATGCATACATACAATATATAGTTCAGAATAAAAAATACTGAGTGATACAGTAATGGGAAATTGTCCATGTGCGGCAATCATTAGTTGAGTACCTACAGGACAAGTGCAGTGGAACCTCAAGTGACGACCGCCTCAAATGGCGACTATTTTGGGTAATGAACGGCCCGATCGCCTACAATTCGTCTCGTTAGGTGACCGCTCGTTTGAATAACGTCAACACTACATGGTAGGGTCGGAGGCTGCTTCTTGCACATTCTCGGACACCTCCGAGGATGTAAATAAATTATTTTTCTTCGTTTAAAGATGCTATTAATGCTGGGATGTTGCAAAGCATTGACTTTTTTGTAGAAAAATGAAATGAATGTTTTTAAAGAAAGAACAAATGTCAAAAAGTTCATTCTGTGTCAGGTAGGCTGCTCCATGTTTCTTATTAAAAAATAAAATAAAAAAAGTGAAGAATTTTGAAAAATAGAACAAATGTTCGTTCGGTGTTTGGCAGGTAGGCTGCACCATGTTTCTTAAATAAAAAAAAAAAAAACGAAAAATAAAAAAGTTGAAACAATTTGAAAATGAACAAATGCCATAAAGGTTCGTTCAGTGTTTGTCGGGTAGGCTGCACCATTATTGAGAAATAAATGAAAAATACAAAACAAATGGAACACATTTGAAACAGAAAGATTGTCATAGGAACTGAGGGATAATACAGTAATAAGAGATGCAAGCACCTGTCCGATGCACAAAGAAGAAGAATAGTAGAAGTGTCCACAAAGTGGATATGCAGCTGGTGCCTTTTTAACATTGTTGAGTAATACATAATAGCACAAATAATGAGTATGTATGTTATTATGCTCTATTTTGTTATAGTATATCATACAAATACATTGTCCAATGGTAATATGTTACTTTCACCAATGTCCACATTTTTTTTTAGGGGAGATTTTTTTTTCCTTCTTTGTTTATTATCCGATTTTGTTGTAACTTCTACATCCTGGAGAGTGCATACCCGTCCCTAACTATGTGAAGATAGAATTATATTGGTCAACAAATATGTCAGTCATACCTGACAGAACTTGGGACTGAATTTTTTTTGGCTGATTTTTTCACAGATTTCAAACTTTATTTTCCTTGTTTGTTTGGATTGTTTTGATGATTAGGGACCAGATTAGGGCTTTTTGATTTAGATAAAGTATACCCTAAATATAATCCCCTAAATCATTATAATTATTATAATTATCCCTATATTTTGTTTTTTGGGAGGGTTATTTTTTCTTGACTTCATTTCAACACATATTGACTTACAACTTTCACTTTTGAGTACAAATGCCAAACAATGTTTATTAAAATATACAAGAAAATTAATGAATTAAAATAAACTTTTACATTGTCAATAACTTCAACTTCAATTATCTCTAAAACTAGAGTTTCAACATTGAGTCAGCTTAAAAAAATCCAGTTTCTGACCGATTCTCACCATTTTTACATGTAGTGTGCGCCACGGTCTGTTCTACAATCCTATTAGAATGGATTTTTCATAAACTTTAAATGTTTAGAGTTATAAATTTTGTTGTCTGAATTTGGTGCATATTTCAAATGCCATATTGACGATTTTTTTTTTTTACAGTAAACTACTGTACACTGAAAATCTATATTCTAAATCTATTAAAAATGAAGATCATATACTATTCAGAAAGCATAATAACACTTGATGAACAATTGGCGATATTTAATATTGTTGCAACTGATCTGACAATCTGACTTTTTCAATATTAAATTTTATAGTTATTTTTAATTTTCTTGTTTTTCAAGTTACGTTGATGATCATTTAGACAAAGATGGAGTGTTTGTCTAGAAGATTATGCACACAAAATTTGAAAGCGTTAAATCAAGTTTGTAAAATTTAACTTATGGTCCCATCGGGTCCTGTCGTATATATACGCCATGCGCAGTTTAAGGGTTAAATATGATATTAAGTATAAGTTCAGTATACAGTACAGTAGTTAGCTGTGTTAAATAATTTTCCAAATCTTTCAATGCATTTAATGAAATTGTTATGAAATGCTCTTCATAAAGATTGTAGCTATTTAATTTGTGATGTTTATTGTGTTGCAGAAAGATGGTCATACTGGTTGTGTTGCATGTGGGCGGGAGTGAAGGTGGTGTTGAGGGTTGCTGTTGGTGTTCGTAATACCCGAATTTCCTAGGATAAACAGTAAGTACCGTAACTGGACTCTCTCATTGTCCTGTCCGTTTCATTGTGAATGTTTTCATTTTTCGACGTGTTTTCGGGGAATTGCTTGCACCGGTTTTGTTTGTCAATATTTGTTTCAGATTTTCTGGCATATAAGATGCTTCTAGTTTACTAAAAGGCTGTTTTGTAAAAAAATAACTGTTTTGGTATGTTTCAACATTATTTATTCAAGATGATGCTCAAGTGATTGTTTTAGGGTTAAAATATAGGGATTTGTACATGTTAATTCCAATATATTGTGTGTATGTATGTATATGTGTAATTACCTAAGTGTAATTACACATATACATATACATGTTAATTCCAATATATTGTGTGTATGTATGTATATGTGTAATTACCTAAGTGTGTGTGTGTGTGTGTGTGTGTGTGTGTGTGTGTGTGTGTGTGTGTGTGTGTGTGTGTGTGTGTGTGTGTAGACATATAATTAATATATATATATATATATATATATATATATATATATATATATATATATATATATATATATATATATATATATATATATATATATATATATATATATATATATATATATATATATATATATATATATATATATATATATATATATATATATATATATATATATATATATATATATATATATATATATATATATATATATATATATATATATATATATATATATATATATATATATATATATAAAGTATACAGTGGCACCTCGATTAATGAGTTTAATCCGTTCTGGCACCGAGCTCGTCATGTGGAAAACTCGTCTTGTGAAACAACAACAAAGCTGTCGTCGGAGGTGTCAGAACCAGTGGGAACGCTCGTTAATCGAGCGAAAGCTCGTCAGTCGAGACATATTTTCTGCGAGTGGCTTGCTCGTTACTCAAGGTTCCACTGGATATATATTTATTTTATTTAATTATTTATTGAGTTTGTGGTGGACCAAAAAGTGTTGTATATGCTGGCAAATATGGTAGTTTTCATACTGGTAGAAATACTGATCCGTGGTCAACTGATAATTGTTTAAGCAGTGTTGTTATATAGGTGTTGTAAGTAGGCTATGTCTGAATTTATAGAGGTAAAATTAATTAGTAATCTGATGTTACCACACTAACACTGAGTTTTTTATATTTTGCACTATCAAAGCTAATTACACACATTATAGTACAGCACAGAACTGTATTTCCGAGGTGTAAGTTTTGCCTAATTTATAAGTATCTGTGTTGAATTTTTTTTAGTATGTTTCATCATACATTTATTGAAAGTGATTTTCAAGTGACTTTGTAGGGGGAAAAATATGAATTTATGCATGTAAATATATATATTCGGTTGATGGTGGACCAAAAACATTCCATCGTCCCCCGTGCGTCCCATCTTCTGGAAAATTATGGTAATAAAAAATAGCATTTGTAATACAGTACAGTACATAGTACACAAATTTATTGTGCACATCAGTTGTTAGGTGATGTATTATCTCCTTCAGAGTATTTCAAATTGGTGTAATGACCAAACCACACATCAGAAGATTAAATGACGACGTTTCGGTTCGTCCTGGACAATTATCAAGTTGATTGATAATCGACTTGATAATGGTCCAAGACTGATCAAAATGTTGTCGTCTCTTCATCTGGTGTGTAGTTTGGTCATCATATCTTCAGCCACGTTATTGTGACTCATCGTCTGCTTAATTGGTGTATGCAATTCATCTCACGGCACACACTGCTTACCCAGAAGGTTTAATACAGTGGTAGATGGGTTGGTCCTGGTTAAAAATGTACGGCACCGAGGTATCTGTTCAGATGTTGATGTTTATTTTTTTTAACCATTTAACTTGGAGTCTGGATTATATAATAACACCTCACATATTCCTTCAAAGATTAGTGCTTTGCATTATTCACCTGTTATACAGTCTTGTAGTAGTGCTGCTGATCCTGTTTATTTTTGTTTAGAAGCTCGTATTCTACATGCATTTTAATTGCTAAGAATGAACAAGCAGTGAGACCTTAAATATATTTCATACCCTGTTATCAAAGTCGTGTCCCTGATATGTTCAAGGTATTATGATCAACTCTTTCTCTTGATTTTCCATCCTTTAAGAAATAAATAATTCACTGTAAACTTATATAAACTAACCCAACTAGAAATGTACTAAACAGGCATTTATGAATAAAGTTTTCGAATTGGAATGAAACTGTTTTGCCCAACTAGAAATGTGCAAACCCAAGCAACCCACCTAACCTATTGAGGCCAGTGCTTAAAAAAAAATGTCAATATTACAACGCTTTAATTTTGACTAATATGTACGTCGATTGTTAAAAGTTGGTCGATTTAATAAACATGGGATGTTGAGTAATAGATTACGGGCTGGGTTTAGATTAGGGAGTTGTTTGAAATGCTCATTCAAGATAATGACACGTTCCATTCGGTCTCAATTTTGGAAGATAAAATATCAGCCAGTATTTCTTTGCCAAGACTGAGGAGGAGTTCAGGAATGCAGGTTCTATCATATCGCATGACTTCAAATTTCCGATAAAGGAGAAATCATAAATTGTTTAATTTTATTTTATTGGACACATTTTATCCTTGGAGAACAACACCATTTGCTTATCCTTGTTACTTCAGTTTGGGCCAAAAGATGCATAACGAATATTGAATTGAGCAATAGAACCCTTAGCTACCTAGTGCTATACTGTACTGTATCTTGATAAAATCTCATCATACATGGTGAAAATTACAACTTACATATGATTTTAAAAGAAAATTTTTGTATGCTCTTAGACACTAAGGCCTACTGATAACTGTTTTTCTTATTCTGTGCATTGATCGTATTAATGAAATGTAGTCAAGTTTCGATTGTTATTGGGCATTATAGGTACTGTACTCTTCTGTATCCTAAATTCATAAGTGTGTGAAAGCAGAAGGGCAGAATCCATAGAGTTTTGTCACAAAATTTAGGAGATATGTTTTTACTGTAGAGTACAGTACTGTACTGTACTGTATATTCACCTCGTGCTTGGTCCCCCCCACTTCCACACCACAATACTCACTCCCATCACCAGCCACACCCATCTACCACCACCTTGTGATTACTACAATCCACACTCCCCCTCATGTATGTCCACACATCCACATTCACAGGGCCTCATGGCTGAGTGGACAGCGCTCAGGGGTCGTAATCCTAATGGCCCGGGTTCAATTCCCGGCAGAATTCCCTCTTTCTTTTTTCTTTCTCTTCCTCTTGTTTCTCTTATGTTCCCATTCTTACTCCAATTATTACACCCTATATTACACCTTACCTCCTGTACCTTTTGCCTTGCTTTTATCTTTCTCTAATATTTCTGTCTCCTCACCTATCTCTTGCTTTACTTAATGTCCTTGCCTCATCACAATCAACTTGATAATGGTCTAAGATGGACCGAAATGTCGTCGTTTCTTCAATTTCTAACATGTGGTTTGGTCAACAATTAAGGATATTGTTCATGAAGAAGCTGGAAGAGTCTTTAGCTTTCATGTTGTTTATCACAGTGCAAAACATAGTTTCGTATTCTTCTTTCATGACAGTCCTATAAGTTTACACAGACTAATTTTATGCTGTTAGCATTTGCTTCTCATTTTTCTCCTGCTATTGTTCATAGTCTATTGGTATATTTTTAATTTATTTTTAATTGTATTTTCATTGAGTTGCTTCATTGTATTCCTTCACATATGTTGCACATAAACATTTCCATATAAAGATACTTTTCTCAGTTTTTACAACTTCATAAAATGCTAACTGTACTTTGTAAATGCAGCTATGGAATGTATTTTCCAGCATATAACACACACGTAATTTACGAGGAAATTGAGTGATTTTTTATATATTTCATCATACATTTATTATAAGTGATTTTCATTGGTTTTGTAGGGTAACCATATGATTTTTGTGCATGTGAATACTGTACAATATATGGGGCTAGTGGTGGACCAAAAATATGCGTCCTATCTTTTGGAAAATATGGTCCGTACTCAACATGCGAATTACTGTGCTACTCTGTTTCTCTTGAGTATTTCAACCCATTCTCCAAAAATGATAGTACTTACAGAAACTTTTTTGGTGGAACATTTAAAAATATACTATTGCAGCCAACAATGTTTGTTTTGTATTACAGGTACTGTATTGCTGTTGTACAGAGCGCAAAAAAATAACCAAAAACCAAACCTAAATTTTGTCCTAATATGACACATATATGTGCTAAATTAGGCCTAATATAGTTCATATTAGGTCTAAAATCTCTTATTTACACCTTGGTCAAGTTAGATTAGCATCTTTCGTTAATTTTCCATTTTTTTAGCATGCTAATTCAGCTAACTCAGTAGTGCAAAACATTAATTTTTTTGTATGTTTAACCAAATAATTGCTTTAAGTACCATCATTGCTGGAGGATGGGCTGAAGTATTTAGTAAAATTAAATTGTTTCACGTATTATAACTCAAATGTATGGATGGCTGTGTGCACATATGGGTAGGTGGATGTGGTAGGATGCTTGCGTGCATGCCATGCGTGTATGTCCCATGGTGTGAGGTATTCTTATTTACTGTTTCAGCTTTTGATGTCGATATTGCCACAGGTGGATCTTATGTACTGTAATCTAGTGTATTGTTGCATGTTGATGGATCTCTCTTGCTTATGAAAGTTATGGCTTGCAAGATATTTTGTTTATAAGCAACTAACAGCTATGTTTGAAAAAAATATATATATTAACTGATTAATCTAACAATTCATTAGGTTTGTTGTGTGTGTGTGTGTATTTATAGTACTGTATCACATTTTCTGGCATTTAAATTAGGTTTTTTCAGTGCATTTCAGCGCGCAATCAACTTGAGACCATCCTGAAGAGCCATCAGCTGTGCTTGAACATTACTTGATGAAGTCTGCATGTTAGTTTTAACAAATTGGTTATCTTTTGCTTATCTTGAGGAACAAGACTAAACACACAGTTGAAAGAAGGATATTTGAAACATGCAACGGAAAAAAAATGATAAATTTGCCAAAACCTGATACAGGTTGTTAGGTCAATAGCTGGACATTACAATTCTTTTCAGGGTACTGTCTGGACTACGATTCATGAATCGCCTTTGCGCCCACTGACGAGATTCATACCTTACCTTGATCTTGGCAGCATAGTGGTGCGGGTGGTATTTATTAAACACCTTATGAGCTCTGATTTTCTTAAGAGGTCCCACAATCCAAGGTTTGTTACTATGCTATGAATGGTGTTGATGCACTTGAGAACTCGTAGTACCGACTAATCTGCCGTGATCAAGGAGGTACAGATCAGACAGTGGACACTTAGGAGGCTTGATGAATCCCGGCCTTGTACTGTATTTTGGAGTTAAGATGTCTTAGCTGCTTCTTTGTGTTTATTTTCTAGGGTGTTACTTCTGTAGCTGCCTCTCTTCTTGTTTGCTTCCACTAAGAGTTCTTGTAGGGAAGCGTTGGTGGTGATTTTACTTTGGATTTGTGTACAGTATTTTGGTCTATACACAGACTAGAAGACCAAAATAAATTCACTACCACTACTTTCCCTTCAAGAAGAACTTCTAGCAGACGCAGCAAAAAAAAAAAAAAAAACTTTCTCCCTCTCTTTCTCACTCCTCTTTCTCTCTCCTCTCTTTCTCCCTCCTCTTTCTTTCTCCCTCTCCTCTCTTTCTCCCTCCTCTTTCTTTCTCCCTCTCCTCTCTTTCTCCCTCCTCTTTCTTTCTCCCTCTCCTCACTTTCTCCCTCCTCTTTCTTTCTCCCTCTCCTCTCTTTCTCCCTCCTCTTTCTCCCTTTCTTTCTCCCTCTCCTCTCTCTCCCTCCTTTCTCTATTTATCCCTCCTTTCTCTATTTATCCCTCCTTTCTCTATTTATCCCTCCTTTCCTCTCTCTCTCTTTTTCATTCTTTCTTTCTTTCTTTCTTTCGATGTTATTGATTTTGTTCATCAACAATAAAAGATGGCTGGAGGATATACAGTATTCATTCAGATTGATTTAAGGAAACAGTAATCTTGTTTGGTAAGAAAAATTAACGTTTCATTTCAGAGTACTGTATACTTATTTTTCTGTTAAATTGTAATAAATGCATTGTCTTTACATCAGATACTTTGCTTTCTCTCTGCAACCTCCCTTTCCTGAGGAGGTTACGTCACCTAGAATCTGCCTCCAGACATTTTAGTGATGTTAAGTACTAAGTAACGTATTGGGTTGTGTTAAGAAACTTGTAAGAGTTAGTGTTGGTTAATCATTTGCTAATAGTTGGCACATTTAAGCAAGAACTGTGACAAAAAAAAGGAAAGGATATTGTCTTGGCATATACAGTAAATAAAAAAAATTGGGAAGAGAGAAATATAGATAGCATGGTACAAGTAAAAAAAATTATGGTTAACCAAATCATTGAAATGACATTTGTAGAGTGATACAGTATAGTGAAAGCAGCTGTTCAGTGTTGCTGCATTGAATGTAAGCAATGGAAACAAAATTATCAGTTGAAGAAATGGAACTGACTTTTGATTGTTCCTGGAGCACATCCCTAGACATCCAAGACCAAACCTTCTGCTCTATACAGTACTATGGAAACTTTTACAGTGCTGATGCTCATATAACACTGCATGTAATAATGTAAGGTTTGTTTTGAGTATTGTTAATAGTGTTCCGTCAACATTATTATTTCATAAATTTATAACGATGCTCGTGAGCACATTTTCCAGCCAGCACCTCCCGGTGGCATGTGGCAGCTTTATTGTAGTGTATTTTATCATGGTATAAGCACTTGGTCTGTGTGCATGTGCGTGTATGTAATGCATGATATAGTACAAAATTTTCCTCTGATCTAGTATGCTTTTTGCATCTCTTTTTTAAGTATTGTTATTGTAAGCCTACTCTACATAACAGTTTGTTTTCATGTTTTGCTCAGCATTGTATGTTGCTTTGTATGACGATTTGTGCTTTTGTGTCCCTAGTTAGAATTACCAGTTTGTACTAGATGCTGTTTGTCCAAGCTTCATTTCCTGGTATTAATATCTTCATTTTATGTTGTTGCTGCAGTGTTAGATAAAGTTTAGTTTTTCGTATGTGGATCCATTATCAAGGGAATTTAAAGTTATGTAAATGACAGAACCTAATGTTGTGAATTTGTAAAATTGGTTTGTCACACCTTATTTTGTACGGGCTAGGAAGCCAGATGCCCTATGCAAGTAAATAGGTAAATCTAAAGATTTGTTTCCAATGAATGGTATGCAACAGCTAATGATGCACCATTTTATCAGTACACACTACTACCAGTACTGATCTTTTGACTCTTAATAGTGTGATACAGGAATTATATTCTTTTTATTTTATATTCTTAACCGAAATGCTTCGAGTAAAATGTAATGCGATTTATAAAATGTTATTAAAGTCAGAACTGGAACTTTCATAGTTGTAGAATAGGGGGAAATACTAACTCCATTTGACTAAAATGGACTGAAAGGGTAGTAAACAAGATACAATATATATAATATGCTTTTCCATATTCTAATTACAGTGTATTATATTTTAAATTTGAATAAGGTTTCAAGATTGTGTGTGGAATATATTAGACCAGTTTTAGCTCTGAATTACCATTGTTCCAAATCACCATTTAGTTCCAAACCATTGCTAGGATCTAACACTAGGCCCACACATCTATGCTCAATAATAATACTGTTCTAGAAAAAGAACTCGAAGTTTAAGGACTGTAAAAAGTACAGAAGAATGAAAAAGTCGTTTAGTATACAGGAGGTATCACCTCTGGTTGGATATGTGAGAGGACACTGGGAGAATAAATGACACTTGAGAGATCCATTTTGGATTCTGGGTATGCACTTGGTATAAGTTATTTAGTTATATCAGGGTTTATTCAACATATTGTCAGCTGTGTAACCCGTAGGAACACTTCAGCTTTTAATAATTGTTCAATATTTGAGTTTGGGGCGTAGGAATAATTTGATATAATCTCTCGGCATCACGAGAGTTTAGTTGTATTGTGAATTAAAGGTAAGAAAAAGATTTAATTTTCTGCTTGGATCTGCTTCATATTTGTTGTTATTTTTTACATTAGTGTTGGTTGTGTTGTAGCCAGTTTTTTTTTATTTTATTTATTTTATTTAGCTTTAGTTTTTCTCCTTAGTTTTGTTAATTTGGTGTGTTTATGTTTGCAGGTTGTGGTGTAGGCGTTTGGACTGTAGTAGGACTAAGGCTGCGTGTATGTTGTTGTGTAGTGTGTGGCTTACTGCATGATGGCTGCTACTGCTGCCTTGGAGGGTGCTGGCTCCTCCAGCAAGGAGGAGCTCAATATGCCCTCTGTTGTTCAGCCTCGTAGAGGAGCCTCCGCTGGCACCACTCTGTTGCATGACTCTGCACTCCGCACTGCCACCAACAAAGCTGCTACCAGTTCCCCTGCATCAGTTGGAGCCTCACTACATTCATCCATATCTACACCCACAGGCACCAAGCTGGCTGTGACCACACCCTCTGAGTCACCTGCGGAGGGTGAAGGTATCAAGATTGTTATAGACGAGGAGAAAGAGATCGCACTTAACCAGCTGGAGGAGCTGGAAGTGGCCATCAAGGTACGGAAGGTAACCAAGGTTGACGGTCGGAAGATTCGATGGATTGAGTATCGTGCCCGTAAGCAAGCTGAAGAGGCAAATAAAACTCCCGTGAACACAAAGAGAAATGCACGTTGGTCAAAGTACAAGGAAGTGGAGAACAGTGAAAATGATGCAAATGTTGTGAATAACAATAACAACAACAATAATAATAATAATAGCAAGAGTGAAAGCACTATGAAAGTGGATATGGCAAGTACACCACTAAGTGTGGTTGGAACTAATAATGTCCTGGAGAGTATGAAGCAACAGTTTCTGCAGGGCACAGAAAATGTAGATGAGCCCCTCGCAAATGGCACCACTCAAAAGAGAAAATCGGGACGAACTCGTAGGTCAGTCAGCACTCCTGAAGGAGTGAACTCCAATAGTTGCTCCCCTCAAAAGTTAAGCCCTTCTGAAACCAAAGGAACAAATCTTCGTAGTGCAATTGAAGTAAAGAATAATTCTTCTGGAAATGGCTCACTTATAGACACTACACAAAGTATGCCAAACACACCAGCTACACCCTTTACCTCAACTCCAGCTCTTACAGCATCTATTGAGAAAAAGTTTTTCTACCCCAAGTCTCTAACTAAAGGATTACGTGAGGTCCGCAAGATAGAAAATGGTACTGATGGGGAAGTTACTGTAAAAGCAGAGGATGTGAAAACACCAGCTTCTTCCCCAATTTCTTCTTTATCTTTAGGAGAACATATTCCAGCCTTACCAGAAGAAAAATCAGAAACTAAAACTACTTGTCCCCTTGTTACAGCAGCTGCAAAATTGATTTTGCCATCTGCCAGGTCAAGATCTGCAGACAACACATTAGCAAAAAACAAAAAAATTGGTGCTCAAAAAGGAAGCTTTAAAAAAGCTGCTGCCAAAGCTGGAGGAAGATCAGAATCAGAACCAAGAAGCATAATGAATGGTCATGCTGAAATATTACTAAACGGTTCAGCTGAAGAGAAGAGCTCCTCTCCGGCAGAAGGTTCATCTGTAAGTGAACCTTCTACTCCGAACCGAAATAAGATGAACAAGGAGAGCTCCCCTGACAATGTTCTTGAGCCTGACTCGCTGTCGAGACGACCAAGAGGAAGACCACCTCGGAGAGTCTCTTTGATTACAAAAGCTAACAGTACTACCTCATCAGTTAAATCAAGTAAGAAACTAAAGACTGTGGTGGCTGATGTTCATAATACTATGAATGGCGAGCCACAGACTGTGATCCCAGTTAGTAGGCCAGTTTTAAGAGGGAAGAGAGTTTCTCCAACTAAAAAATCTCAGAAAGTGGCAGCATCAGTTCTCCAAGGGGATACTGATGATTTAAGCACCAAGGGCTTGTCTCCACTAAAACAGCCAAAAACTCATGAAGAATTTAAATCCAAAGCTGACAAGAATCAAAGTGATCTTCAGCTAATTCTTCCAGTGCATAGTTCTAAAAAAAGGAAATATGTTGCGAGTAAAACAGATAGTGAGTCTGATCAAGGAGAGAAAGAAGGTAAGGAGAATTCAAGTGCCTCAATGTGTAATCAAACACCAATACCCCCTGATAAAACCCAGAGTACAAAGTTGGTAAAAGGCATCCAGAAGCCTTCCCATCAAGAAGTGCCCTCTTTGCCTGAACCTGAAAATCCCACTGCCATTTCATTAAGCCTTATAGCTGATAAGGAACCTAAATATTCCAAAAGGGGTCCAAGACTTAAAGTTGTTAAAGCCAAAATCAAGAAAACAAACGTGACTACGGCAAAAACTGCAGCAGGGAAAAAGATCACATCAGCAGGAGGTAACAAGAAAGGTAAAGGTGGCCAAGCGCAAAAAAGTAATAACGTGCAAAAGCACATATCACCAAAGAAGGGCAAAGCTTTACCAAAGGTTATTATTGTAGATAAAGAAGTATCTGCAGAAAAAGTTAATCCTTCACCAAAAGTTATCACTGAAGATACGCTTTTGCAAGTGGGTAGTACTTTGCCGAAGATGAATTCTAGTGAAAAAGATGAAAGTAGTTTAGCAAACATCATCTCCCCAACCTCTGATTCTTCTAAGAAAACAATTTCTCAGAAGGAAAATATTTTAAATCTGAGTAACTCTACAGATAAAGACGTTTCACCACAGAAGAACAGTACCAAATCTAAACCCGTAGAGAATGGCATGCCTAGGATGGACATCAAAGTTTTGTCAGAAATAAACTCTACGAAAAAAGATATTTCTCTCCAAGAAAGTAATAATTTGTCACAATGTAATTCTGGAAAAAATATTTGTTTAGAAAAGAGTGGTGGTTCTGTAGAAACTGATTGTATAGATAAAGATAATTGTGTACTAGATAGTAATAATGTGGTGGAAGGTAAGCTTAAAGAGGAAGATACGTCAACAAAGGAGGTATCGTTTTTATCAGGAGCTAAGTCCATCGAAGATCCTTCTATAGGGGAGGGTAACTCGCCCAGAGAAGATAGTTCTATAAGAGAGCATAGATCTCTGCCAGGAGCCAAGTCGTCAAATGATGATGTTTGTATAATGGAAGGTAAATCTTTGCCAGGTTCTAAGTCAACAGAAGAAGAAACTTCAATAAGGGAGGGTAACTTGCCCACATATAAGGGCTCAGTAAGAGAACATAGATCAGTGCCAAGTGCAGACTCTGTAGTTGTTTCTAAAGGGGATTATAATTCTTTGCTAGGAGCAAAGTCAACAGAAGATGCTTCTATAAGGGAAGAAGATAATTCTTTGCCAGGAGCAAAGTCCACAGAAAATATTTATAAAAGAGAGGGTAATTCTTTGCCAGTAGCAAAGACCACAGAAAGTACATCTAAGGGAGAGGGTAATACCTTGCCAGTAGCAAAGTCCAAAGAAGATGCTTCTATAAGGGAGGGTAAATATTTGCCAGGAGCAAAGTCTACAAAAGGCACTTATAAAAGGGAAGGTAACTTGCCCACTGATGCTGTTGTAAGGGAACGTAAATCCCTACCAGGAGCAAAATCTACTGAAGAGGCAGCTTCTAAAATGGAAGGTAGCTTGCCCACAGAAGATACTTCTATAAAGAAGTATAAATCTCAGCCAAGAGAAAAATCCACAGAAAATGCTTCTAAAATAAAGGACGATTATTTGTCAGCAGCAACATCCACAGATGTTTCTGTAAGGGAGGGTAATTCTTTGCTGGGAGCAAAGTCCACAGAAGAGACGTCTACATGGACAACCAACTTGTCCACAGAAGATACTTCTGTAAGGGACCACAAATCTCTGTTGAGAGTAAAATCTACAGAAAATGCTTCCAAGATGGAGGATAATTCTCTGCTAGTAGCAGAGTCCAATGATGATACTTCTGTAAGGAAGGATAAATTTTTGCCTGTGGCAAAGTGTACAGGAGATGACACACCTGTTCAGATGAATAATACTTTGGCTAGCCTGGAGTCTATAGAGAAAGATGTTTCTCTACAGGAAAATAGTACTATACCTGAGGTAGAGCCTTTAAAGAAAGATGTTCCAGTACAAGAAAGTAGTATTTTGATAAAATCAAAGTTTGTAGACAAGGATACATCACAGAACAATAATTGTCAGACAAAAGTAGAGTCGATAGGTGGTCTGTCTTTACAGATTAGTAGTATTGCACCGAAAGTCATGTCTTCAGAAAAAAATGCTTCTATAAAGGAAACTAGTCCATCATCAAAAGAAAATTTTATCAATGAGAAACCTCCAGTACTCGAAAATATTGTTTTGCCAAAAATATGTTTGGTAGAAAAAGGTAAGCCTGTACAAAATGTAAATTCTACTAATAATAATGATCCTCTACAGAAGGGAATAAATGCACTTAAAGAAAATAAGGCAAGCAGAGGCATTCAGGAAGTAAAAGATAGCAAACTGCAAAAAGTTATTGTTGCACTGAGCAGAAATCAGTTGAAAAATGATAAAACACACAAGAATCAACCATTGCAGAGAGACATTTCATTTACCAAAGCTAACCCAGACAAAATTGAGAATCAGAATGCTCCACATGTTCAGCAAGCGTGCCCAAACCCAAGAGAATACCAAGCCCAAGTAGCTGGACAAGCTGAGAACCATACTCCATCTTTGGAAAAGAATTTAGATAAAAATCTAAGCCAGGTTCAGAAAGATAGGACATTACAGAAAAATAGCCCAGTTCAGAGAGGTAGTCTGCCAGAGAATGATGGTCTACTTTTTAAAGGTGGACTACCTTTGAGAGGTAATTCCAGTAATGACAGAGGTTCAGTATCAAAAGGCATTACCGCTCAGAAAAATAACCCAACTAATAAAGGTCCTGCTCAAAAGGATAATCCCATGGCAAAAATTGCTTCTGCATATAGTCAGGTGTGTCCACCATTAAAATGTGAAGTTCAGAGAAGCATGTATGTAAAAGACATTATGAAAACAAACATCATCTCACCATCAAACAGGCCAAATGAAAAACAGGTAAAGGAAGTTGAACTAATAACTGAAGTGCCAAATTCTTGTATCTCGGAGCAAAAGATTGCCAAAGACTGTATCACGGGAAAAGGTCCTGCATCCCAAGAAATTGTGATTGTTAAAGATACTTCTAAACTAGAGAGAGAGGTTGAACCAAATCAAGAAACAGAGGTAGAAGTTAACCACATAGCAAAAGTTGAAATACCACCAAAGAACAATGGTGAACAGAAAAGTGAATTGCAGGTAACTAGCCAAACACAAAAGGGTAAAGGCAAGAAGCAAGCTCCAACAGGTATTTATCAACGTGTGAGTGGTCAGAGTATTACCGAAGTAAAAGAATGCAGAATAGTCGCCTCAAGATGTGGTGAAAGTTCTCAATCTCAACAACATACACATGTACCAGCTAAAATATATAATAATGAAGTCAAGAGTAACAAAGATAATAGTAATCATAATGTTACCAAAGATCTAAAAACTAGTCAGGCATTAAATGCATCCACCTCCTCAGCTGTTAATCAAGTAAAAGAGAAAAATAAATTAGTACAGAATGAGACTTCCATATTGGAAGAGAAGGCAGCCGCAGGACCATCATCCACAACGTCTGAGGTTCCACCGTCTTTAACTGCAAAATCAAAGGAAAAACTTCCCAGAATTTTGAAGCAGCTTTTTCAAGATGAGGGTGTACAGAATATGCTCAAGAGTATGGGTGAAGACACTAGTGTTGCACCTGAAACTTCACCAAATAATGACCCTGGCACTCATAAGTTGCGTCCTAAAAGAACAACTGAACCCATGTTGTCCTCTTCTCCAGAATTAGATGCATTAGAAGCTTTCTTTGCATGTGGAAGCAAGAGGAAAAAAAGAGGCACCGAGCTCGACACATTGTACATGGATGAAGGTGTCCTCAATCTTCTGACCAGCTTGGAGACCCATTCTAGAAGAAGTCATTTAGATGATGCATCTAGTGACACATCTCAAGCTAGTAGTTCTAGGAGTGTTAAAGGTAATAAATTTGGTAAATCTTCCCTTGAAGTAAGTTCTGAGAGCAGAAAACGGAAGTTAAGTGGAGCTAGTATAGTTAGCAATACCTCAAATAGAGCTATGCAACCACCAGATATCAAAAGGCCTTGCCTGGAAAGCCAGAATCCAAGTGCTGATCCGTATGCGCTGGATGCTGCTGAGGAATTCCAGGAACGAATTATTAGTGGCGAACCCATCTCCTCTGAGATGGATGTAAATTTAATGAAGAAAAAAGGAAGGCCATCTCTTCCATTGTCTGTAAGACAAAAGAATAAAGCAATAAGAATACAATTAAAACTCCAAAAACAGAAGCAGATGAAGGGTATGGCTTCTGATTTTACCCAACTCAAGGAAGATGATAACATGAATTTGGCAGAGCTGAAGGAAGTCTTGAGGAAAGCCAAAGAAACATTTAATGAAACCCCTCTGACAGGCACTGCTATAGAGAAAGTGTCAGACAAGTCTGTTCCTCCTCTGAAGATCAAATTAGCATCTGAAAGTGTTACTATTAAGTCTGTGACCAGGCCTAGTCCTGTTCAACATAGGCCTACAGCTGCAGGTTTAGATATAGGGAAACAGCAAAGATTACCTCCCAGACAAACTGTTAGTGACATTCCCAGTAGACCTGTACCAAGACTTACAACAGCACTTCCTGAGTCAAGAGTCTCGGCTCCTGATTCAAGAGTCTCGGCTCCTGAGTCGAGAGTCTCGGCTCCTGGGTCGATCTCTGCTCCTGAGTCAAGAGTCTCTGCTCCTGAGTCAAGAGTGACAGCTCCAGTCTCTAGAGTGTCAATGCCAGACTCCAGAGTGTCGGCTTCGGAGTCAAGAGTGTCAGCTCCAGAGTCAAGAGTGTCAGCAAGAAGTACCATGGAGAAACACAGATCCTATCCAGAAAGACGAACACCACCACCACAATTTACAAGACTTGATAACATGTCGTCCAACCCTCCTAGTCTTACAAGTAAGTTCATACACATAATGTTTAGTATGATCTTTGATATTCATGATAGTTGTATTGTGCGATGACATCACTTTTTTAATTCTGTAAGCTAAACATACATAATAATGTGCTTGAGTAAATTGATTTATGCTATAAAAAAGTACTAACGACTTGGAGTATTTCATTAGGTAAATTATTTAACATAAGTTTGAATCAAAATAATTTGTTTTTGTAAAGAATGAGGGGTTGACTGAACAGGTAAATAACAGGCACAAATTAAACACAAAACAATGGGTATAAATTTGATAAGTTTAGATTCAGGCAAGAGCCGGATAAATATTGGTTTGGAAAGTGTTGCTGATTTAAAGAACAAATTACTGGGTTACATAATAAAAGTGGGACCAGTGGATTGTTTCAAGAGTAGGTTGGATATAAATGAGCTTGGGTGGGTAAAAATAGTAACTGCCTCATAAAGGCCAATAGGGGGCTACCTCGTATGGCCAATAGGAACTGTCTCAAATGGGTCAATAGGAGCTGCCTTGAGTGGGTCAATAGGAGCTGCCTCATATGGGTCAATAGGAGCTGCCTCATATGGGTCAAAAGAAGCTGCCTCGTATGGGTCAATAGGAGCTGCCTCGTATGGGTCAATAGGAGCTGCCTCGTGTGGGTCAATAGGAGCTGCCTCATATGGGTCAATAGGAGCTGCCTCGTATGGGTCAATAGGAGCTGCCTCGTATGGGTCAATAAGAGCTGCCTCAACTGGACCAATAGGAGCTACCTCATATGGTCAATAGGAGCTACCTCGTTTAGTTCAGTAGTACTGTAGCTTGCTTGTACAGTATACTCCAATAGTGCCTGTCTCATATGGGTCAATAGGAGCTTCCTCATATGGGGTCGATTGGAACTGCCTCGTATGGGCCAATAGGAACTGCCGCATGTTGGTCAGTAGGAGCAGTGTGTGGTCATTCCGTATACGAGACAATTCGACGAAGCTCATTTTCTGTTTGTTAAACCATGTGTATTGTTGGGCTAAGATGTATTACATTAGGTTAGGTTGTCTTGGGCTTGGTTGGGTCAGGTTAGGTTGGGCTGAGTTAGGTCAAATTAGGTAGCTTTCAAAATCCATTTGTCATGTTATACGTCTTGCGTATAACATGACCTGTATCCAATTGGAGCTGCCTCGTAAAGACCAATAGTCTTGTTCAATTTCATTAATTCTTGTGGTTTTATTCTGCAACCCTAACTGTTGAAATATTTATTGTCTTTGCAAATCCAGTTCTCATTCCATTTTATTTTGAGGGACTTGCTATAAACGGATTAAATATCATAACGTTAAGGCTTAACTAATCAGCCCTACAATTAAAATTTTCAATTTCTTTATTATGCACCCCATACCCATGTCGTGGGTTCGTAGTTATGTAAGTTCATATGCATACTGTACAGTATATGACAAAGTCTATGGAAATGGTGTGCCATATTTCACAATACACATTTTCACGTTTCCCCAACAGATTGTTTACAGATTTGTTTAAGCATGTTGTTTATATTTTAATGCACATAAACATATGAGGCAGAAATTCTAACAGTGCAAACTTACACCATTTAAGCTTCTAGTGTACAATCCATACAAACTAAGGAATCAAATTTCTAGCATTTTTGTATTTTTTTGTATTTCTAGCATACAAAGATGATGCCTTAACCCTGGTACTGCACACCTCTTACATGTGGCAACTCTGGTGTGCAAGAAAAAATAATTTTAAACTAATTTATTTTTTTACTAATTTGCTAAAATGCATGACCTGAACATATTGATAGATCAAATGTTTGGAACATGACTATGCTAAAAAATATGGTGCACATATTACTCACACATAGTGTAGTTTTAGAACAATAAAACTGTGTTTTTGTTTTATACACACATTATGTGTGTATATAATGGTAGTAATGATTGAAAGGTAACAATTAAAAGAGTGAAGTTTCATAGGAAGGAATGCATTAGTAGATAGGCACGAATGTAGTGAGGAAAGAAAAAAGAAATAAAGTGAAAGAGAGAGGGGGTGGGGAGGAAGGAAAAAGAGAGAGGGGGTGGGGAGGAAGGAAAAAGAGAGAGGGGGTGGTTGATAGGAAGGCAGGTAGGTAGGTAGGGTGGTTGATAGGTAGGTAGGGTGGTTGATAGTAAGGTGGGTAAGAGTAAGGTAGGTAGGTAGGGTGGGTGATAGGTAGGTAGGGTGGTTGATAGTAAGGTGGGTAAGAGTAAGGTAGGTAGGTAGGGTGGGTGATAGGAAGTTAGGTAAGTAGGTTATGAAATGCTATGTTGTTAATGAAGACTTTTTTTAAGATAATCACAATTCTATTTGTTTGTACACTAGAAATCTACAATCTTTGAATATTTTCAGGCTTTACATCATTAATCAGAAATTTTGAGGGTAATGGAAATCAAAGAAGCAGGCAACGATATGGAGGAGAATCCGTTCGTCAGTCGCAGAGGGCAAGTGTCCGACAGAGTGAAGGCAACTATCATTATCGGGACATATCCCTCAGGAAATTTAACAATTTCATGCAAATCATTCTATCCCCTTCAACAACTAAAATGAAGAATGCTTTAAATTCAAGGGTAAGAAAACTTGTCAACAAGACCTGCCAAATTATAATTTTTAATTGAACATTCATTATTTATGTTGGGTATAGAGTACACAATATCATTGTAATTATAATTTATTGTTGTTATTCTTTCAATTGTTTTAGCTAATTTTCTGAGCTGTCAGATTCTGCTGCTTTCTAAGTGAGTTCCACTGTATCCAAGGCTAAGAACATTCAACATGACCCACATAATGCTTGGATGTCACAAGGCATTTTTCAAACTCTCTTCAGGGCCATTTAAGATGTATGGGAGTCACTGGAGAATTACTTGTAATGTATGAAGACAGACAGCAGCTCATAGAAAATAACTTGCTTGGCTATCTCGGCTGATGTTCACCTGAAGCACAAATCCTGCTGTTTGGGGGCTGAGATTTTGGTTATTGCTGTTGTCCCATTTGCATGTTCACTCTTCCTTGACCATGATACCATACAGATCACACTTTAGCTATCTGCTGCTTCTTCGGTTGGCTCCACTTAGGGAGGGCATTTCTGGTGATTTGCCAAGAGCCTACTTCACTCTTTGTGCCAATGGTGTTGGGCTGTTTGTGAAAAACCAGCTTGTTGCAGCCCCTCTCTCCTGAACTACTTCTTTCAAGAGGTTTAGTATTAGTCATGTGCAGCAGTTCGCTTTGATATGTGAGATTTTCCCATATTATTTACAGTCTTCTGAGCCTTCCAGCCTGTTCTCTGAAGGTGTTAAGCATACAATATATGTTTTTCCTCAATAGCAATGTGCACCACTATTCCAAATTGTTGGACCTAGTTTATTAGTTCAACCAGAGTACAATTTTCAATGTTTGTATTATTGCATTAAAACATTCTAGTTATATGTTCACATCCATAGCATACACCTGAAATATTTCATTGTGGACAGGCTGGTGAATTTAATTCATGAACTTTAGTGTTTGTTGGGGCAAGTTGGGTATGTTCAGTTATGTTTCGTCATTGTGTGCTTGCATGGTCCATGCTCTGTACCTACCAAAAAGAACCTTGGCACAGTTGTGTGAACTTTTACTCTCTTTTCTGGTATCCCTATTCTCTTGTTGTCTTTAGGTGAACATCATTTGGTTAGTGATCACTAGGAACACTTTTGGCCTCTTCTTCATTCTGCAGGTGGAGAAAAAGGACCTGGTGACTGGCCAGAGGTCTTGTAAGTACACGTAGTCTGTTTGCATTTTGTGCATGGCTATGAGGACAATGCTTCTTGTCGAATTACAAACCTGTGGATGTTGCCGTTTAGTGTTAGTTCTTGTTGAAATTTTGGTTTTTGCATGCTGGTGCTTGGCATTTGGGTCAGTTCTCATGGGATAATCTTCATTTGCAGTATGGAAGGGTGCTGGTAAGAGTGTGAATTCAGGCAACACTCCCTCTTTACCACCTTTTCAATTTTGGGTTCAGGTAGGATCCACATTTCTTTTTGGGCTGCGTCATTAGGAGATGGAGAAGAGCCCAAATATCAGGCCAAAACAAAATAGAAAATACTGTGGCCAAAACTGCAAACAACAGGGTGGTTGGCATGAGGCAATATCTTCTGTTTATTAAATAATATTTTGGTGGCCACAGTCTCCGACTGTTAGTGCCCTTTGTTAGCCTTTTATACCTGGCACACTAGTTAATATCTTAACATTCAAACTCATAATATTTTCTTGGAAGGTTTGGGTGGAAGTTCATTCAAAAACTTAGTCCTCAGATGCATTCCACTTGCCTCCCACCTGTACACGGTACAGGAACTTCTTGAAATTTTTACTACTTGGTTGTGTATCCGGCTTCCTTCAACATTCCCTTGTCCTTCCTTCCTTTCAATTTAAATAGGCTGCCCTTGTCCACCTTATTTATTTGAGAATCGGTATCGGTTAATAAGACATTATTGGAATGGGTCAGAATATTAGTACAATTTTGGTTTTTCTCTAGTGTAAGTGCCTATGACTTGCTTGAACCCTATGGAAGTCTTTAGGGAATAGTTGAAGGTCTCTCCTGTGGTACCAGTGCAGTGTTGTCCTGTCTGACTCTTGTACTTTCCTATTTACCACACTGGAACTTACTTTAGGAAGCATCACAATGCTCTGCATAGAAAATCATTACATAATACACAAAACCTGTATTTTATGTATTTTATTACTGATAGAGGAATTTTTTTTTTAATTACAGGTTTTACGAGAGCTGTGTGAGGCACTTAACATCCTGAAGCGTGATGATTCTGTACGAATTGTTTTGCTTACTGCTACTGGCTCTACGTTCTGCCAGGGTGTTGATCTTACTGCTCTTCAACACCCTAATATTGAAACTCGGAAGAAGAATGCTGAAAACCTTGTGCGAGGCATAAAGTAAGTTCAGTTATCAGCTGAATCTTTTTTCATAAAATAGAAGGGATTGTAGTTATGTAGATTTTCATGCCATGTAACAATTTTTTTTATAGTACTCTCAGTTTCCCTCATTTAGTTCCTTTTACCCTATTCATGTGCACTTTCTTCATGACAATTTAGTTATTTGTTGTTTTGGAACATCCAAGTCTAGCAATTGTTACATCTTTATTCTGCTTGAATTTCTTTATTTCATAAACATTAGTGTACATAGTACATATATTGGTTCAGATCCTTATTCCTCACTCAGTTCAGTGCTCACTCCTTGGCCAGCTCTTAGATAATTCTACTATTTGGGCTTTTCTTGTTAAATCAAGTTTCACATCAGTGCACTTCCCTATGTCAGAATAGTCAGAATTATGCTGTCTAGCTGACTCCCTCACTTCCAAAAGTGTATCTGCCTACATCATATGCTTTAGACTGCATTTGTGGTCTGTCTTAAGTTTAGATTCAGGAAAGACCTGGATAAATACTGGTTTGGTAACCGGTTTGGTGATTTATGGGTCAAATTACTAGGTAATGTAATTCACGTGGGATCGCTGGATAATTATAGCACTTTCGCGTCCCCCGGAGGGCAGGCCACCGCTCACCCCAAGGTAGCCTGAGTGATATTTATACTCTTTTCAGCTTTCTTACCTCAATTTTCGTGCTACATCACTTGGTATGCTTGTGTATATATTTTCGTGCTTGGTATCAGTTGTGTAGTACTTGTATAACACAAAAGCATTATGTATAGTCACAGAGAATGGGAAGACGTTGGCGCTCATTTTAAAACAAACCGCATAATAATCAGACAATAAATGGAATTTTTACAAATATTTTAATTTTGGACGGCAATGAAGTCCTTGGGATAACTACGTGAATTTATTTTAGGACGTCAATACTGTACCGTTAACAGGATGCAATAGTGTTAAGAATTGATTAGACAAATATATATGAGTGAGTTTGGGTGGATATAAATAGGAGCTGCCTCATATGGGTCAAAAAGGCTTTTCTGTAGTTTTTTCATGAGAGATTCCTATAATCTCTCATAAATGAATAACGTTTATGAATGAGTGAAATAAAACAATGATCAGTTACTTTCTCAGAGAGCTTGTCGTCCATTGAAATAAAACACTCGAACCTTTCTCCATCCCAAATTTCATATTTAATCATTTTTTTTTAATTGTAGAGAATCTCTAACTTGAAGATATTTTAGGGTTTTTGTTGTGTTTATTACATAAGAGTATTTTTGCTTCCCAAGTTTGTAGGCAATATTTTTTAGATGAATATTTTTGCAGACAAATATCTTTAAACACTTGTATATGCTGATAATACAGCTGTCTGTGGAAATTTAGCAATGTGACCCTGGTGGCCAATGTGGAAAGGCATTGTCTATCTTTGTGGCATATCTCAATAGAAAGCTTGAGTGAGCGTTATACACACATTTCCTGGTACTATAGAATGTTTTTGATTGTCTCCATACATTGAGTTAGATGAAGTCAAACAGCTGTGATTATACATTTGCAAAATATTATGCTTAGCTTTCAAAATTCATTGATTAAACATAAGTAATTTTTAGTTCATTTTAAATTGATACAGATCAATCTTTTGGTAGCATTTATACATAAAAAATACTTATGTCTGTGAATAACTGATCAGTATAGAAAAGTTACTCTAGTAAGGTGAGCGGCACCTCGTGCCCATGATTTTATCCCATATTTTTGTTCCATACTCAAGAGCATTCATTTTTTAATATTTTGATAAATGGATTTTTTTTTTACCTGTAAATTGGCTCAAAACACAAAATTAATTAGAACAATTTGCATATTACTGAGTGAGTTGCTGAATGAGGTTGTTCAACTTGAAGAAGTAAATGTGTTACTTATTACATTCTCATAATCTTCATGACTGAGAGTGTCTCAATCAGCAAAAGTGTTCAGCTGTACCCCATTTTTTTTTTTATATATCTTTTTCTCAAAATACCTGTACTGCATATTGGTCCAAAGTTGTAACTAGAGTTTGCAAGTGGAATTGCTGATAAATAATCATCATACTTTCCAGTATATAAGATGTACCCAATTTACAAGGCTATTTTCTGGATAAAAACACTTTTAGTATGCTTCATCAAACATTTATTGAAAGGGATTTTGAAGAGGTTTTGTAGGGAAAACAAAGAATTTTGTGCATGTAAATACAATTTATAATCTGGTAGTGGTGGACCAAAAATGTGCCATCTGCAAGAAAATGCAATATATATATATATTCGTTTGTCTGGCTATCATGTAAGTCAGTGAGAATTTAAAGAAATTATCTGCATGAATTCCCGCATTTCATAAATTAAAGTGTATATTACGTTATATAATGTATATCTGGAAATAAACAACCCAACCTATACACGAGATGAAACGAGAGATGATATTTTGGCCAAAAATGTAATCATTTAATTTCTTGCGTGTTTGTGTATGTTGGGTTATTTGTTTCATTTACATTATTTTGGCTTATTCTTTATATAGTACAGTACTTGAAAGTCTCTCAAATATTTATATAACATTATAATTTTTCAGAGATTTCCTAAAGGCGTTGGTGCAGTTTCCCAAGCCTATTGTAGCTGGTGTCAACGGGAATGCAATGGGTCTTGGCGTCACTATGTTGCCACTCTTTGATATGGTTATTGCAAATGACAAGGCAGAGTTTTATCTACCATATGCAAAACTGGGTCAGGTGCCAGAAGGTGGAGCTACGTACACTTTCCCCAACCTATTTGGTAAATTGCAGGTGAGTTGGAGACATTGTGGGCTGCTTTTTACCTCTACTGTACTTCTGTCCACAAGAAAATATTGAGGTCGTATGATGGGATTAACCTCTCAACTGCGCCGGCCAACAAATGTCATTTTGAGAGTTGTCCGTTTTTTTTATTTTAATTAGGCTATATTTTAATGTTTTTTTAATGTTCTCATCACTCTTTGTGTTTTGAAATGAAAATAGTTGAGTTTGGAAACATTTTGACATTAACTTTACCTGAACATTTATAAAAACAACAAAAATATGTCCTTAACAATTGCACTATGAAGTTTTTGCCAAAAACAGGTGCACAGTGCAGGGGTTAAACCCACATTTCTGGATTCCCCCCAGGCACATGCACACAATCTTGGGATTTGGACTTGGTCGGGTTGTATAGTCACAACGTTTTTATGTATTTCTATACATGCTTCATTTTGTTAATACATTCTTCCATATCTGATTATTTAATCTTCATTATGGCTGGTTTTTATTACATTATCTCTTTTTAAACACATTAACATTGTGGCACGCAGGGTGTTAGCCATCATGGAATAATGGCACCAACAGTTTCTTGGTCTTTGATGCTAGGAAACTTAGCTCCTTGTTCATGAAGGCATGGCTTCTCAACTGGCAAAATTCACAGGATCAACTTGACAGTTGCTTGTCATGTCATGGGAACAGGGTATGTATGGTCAGTGAATTTTGATGAAGACTTGAGTAAAGTCCTGACTATTTTGCGAGCAAGTAATGTGAACTCTAAGGACATAGCCTATCAAGTTTCGGTTACTTGAATGAAAATAATTTTATTAGTTTTTTTTTTGTCACAGTGATGATGGTGCTGAAGTGAAGTGCACTGTGATCTATTTTGAATACCCGGAGGTTTAGGGGAATTTTAATGTGTAGTGATTAAGTGTAGGAGAGAACATAATTTGTTATTGTGTTGACTGAGTGACAGCCTAGCCTTTAAATTACAGGTATGGAATAATAATGGGACCAAAAAAGAATGAGGAGTGTTTGGCCTATTACCATTAAGTGTACATTTTCCATTTTACATACACACTGAGAACAAGGAGTGATTAATTTAATGATTTATTTGTATTATGCATTTTTTGTGTAGCAACATACGTTAGTCTATTGAAGGGGGCCTTTACTAAGACAATAGAGAAGCAGTCTCATTAATGAGGCTGAAACAAATAACCCAACTCGAACATATGAAATCAAAGTCACTAGCTAAATGAATTGTGGGGTTCAATTCCTGAGCCAGTTATGTGCCTCTGTAATCCTTCCATCATCACTCCCAGGCTGGGTATGGGGGGCATAATAAATAACTAAACTAATTCTAGACCCATGATAAGAGTCCAGATTGAAAGAATTCGTTCAATTAGGTTTTATATGCTATGTAAATTGGGTTATTTATGAAGTCTATGATATTTTAGGGTAGCCAGCAGAGATGGCACTAAAACTTATTAGAGGTTTATTTAAATGTGCACTATAATATATGGATGGTGTCCTTATAACCTGTGGACTAAAGAAATGTAATCAGTGGTGAATGTGTTGATGGTATTTTATTACATACATACAGACCCTGCATGCTTTGTGAACCCCTCAGGGCTGAGACCCGGCGGTTAACCTTTTGAGTTCGTATAAGTGGTCTTTAAATCTAGGGGGAAAAATTGACAAGTACATAGCATAAATTCGACAGCTTTGTTTGTACTCGCCAATTGTCTGTACAATGAAATCCACGTCATTTAACTGCCTTTGTGAATATATGTAGTTATTGAATACATATACAGTATGATTAGGGAGAAACCATGCATTAGTGATGAAGAAATTGATTAGATAGTATTATAATATTGTGGTATCAGCAGTATACCCCGAACCAACCAAATGATAATGAATGTGTAGGACTGTCGGCTGTTCCAAGCAACAGCTTTTTAGATCTAGTTATAACAAGGCAAGTCTGGATCCAGGCCATGCTTGAGGAGTAGAACTCTTGGAACCCACTCCAGGTATACTCCAGGCACTTTAGTCTGGTAAACAAGAGTTTAACCTAAAATCCATATATGGGTGTCTAGTCATATTCGGACATATTAAGCAGGTTAGCCTATATGTTCTCCAGTGGATGCAGTTGCAGCCGACTTTGGAGTTAGCGTGTTGGGGCTGGGACAAGTTTGCTAGTCTGCACACGTCGTCACCTATATATCAGTAAAGGGGGAAATTATGTGGTTTAATGTTGCATTTCACTTACCAGCTCAAAGCAGCTGTCTTTGTTTGGTCCTGATTGTGAGAGAGAATCACTGTTGTTAGGGGACAGGAAGCCTGTGCTTATGCTTATCAAGATCCCCCCTAGGCCAACTACTGACCTTCCTCAGGATGCAACCCACAACAATTACCAAACTCTCAGGTACTTATTTACTACTTGGTGAACATCAGGTGAAAGGATGTGTGACCAACCATTTCTGTCCTGCCCCAGTATGATTACTCTTGGCCCATGCAGTTAAATCGTATCTAGTTGGTTGATCATTGTTTAGTATAGATTGCTTCATTTTATTTTTCAGTCGACAAAGCTGTTCTTGGGCCATAAATTAACAGCGTCCAAGGCCCAAGAAATGGGTCTGGCTTCCGAGTCAATATGGCCAGCTACTTACCAGCAGGAGCTCATACCTAAGGTCGCTCTCCTTGCAACACAGTCGGCCCAGGTAAGTGGATAGATGCATGACAAATTTGTTCTCCTATCCTATTTTTTTAATGTTCTTACTTATGTAATAATTAAAAAATAGCCGTTGGTTACATCTGGAGCTTCATCAGGAATTTATATAAGTGAGTTTTATCAACTGAATAGGCAAGCATGTTTGTCTCTAAATGTGTAATAATAATGTCTGTTTTTAGAGTATGAGGTTGAAGAGGTAAGGGTGTGGTAAAGAGGTGTTGGGCAGTATTTTGTGAAAGTTAAGGCCCTTGTTTTAGTAAATATTTAAAGCTGTTCTTGACGAGGTCTAGCATGAGTGATATAACAGTAACTAGGCCTAACCACCAACTTTCTATGCACGTACACTACACTACACTGTCGAGAGTGGTCGCCTCGACCGCCTCTAAACCCTTCCCTGGGTTTAGAGGGTCTTTTTTACTTATTTACTCATTACATTACAAATTAGTAATATCATTACTGGTTTGGGAACTTTTATGTGGTAACCATGTTGTTACATTTGTTTAAGGCAGTTACTTCAACCAATTTCTGTGTGTCATATATTGTATTTGTAAAACAAAAAAAATCATAATTTGAGCACTGTTAAATATGTCCAGATTTGCTATTTAATACTTATCATATATTTAACATTTCAAACTCTCACAAACTTAGGAAGTGCAACGAGACAGGTCACTTATTGGTATGAGTTGTAATTCCCCACTACAGTTTGTATGGTATGAGCTGGACCATACCTCACCCAAAATATCATTAGACATCTTAGCCATGCCATGCCATGCTATTGGAGAAAGATTGTCATTTCATCAGGCCACTTACCGAAATATGAACTGTATGAGGTATATCTTTCCGGTAATGCACTATTAGCTTGTCAATGTACAAGCATAAATTACTATAGTTTTAAGCATACAGCACTATGTATCTCAAGAAAATTATTTAAAGTTGGGGGGCTATTAATCCACTGAGGATAACTCCACGTGCTTCTAAATAGCATCTAAGTTTATGATGCCAGAGGGTGTTCTTAATAGTCTCTGTTTGAATTACAACCCCAGAACATATTTAGCCTCATTATTTTTTATTATCTCTTATAACAATTTCGTTGAATCATTTCAAAGTTGGTTTGAAGATACCTTAGAGTATACTGTACAGGCTAGTGTATGCACAAAGTTTTTGGTAAACTGGTATACCATTGTCGGGGGGATAGGATATCCATTAGGTGTATTGATGTTCACCCTTCTTACGTGTCTGTGCTTTCCTTGTCATACGTGTCCAATCTTGTCTCCTACATATCAGACTCCTCCCCTTTTCAGATCTCTTGAATGTTGCACATTTGTTCTGTCTTACATGTCAGACTTTTACCTCGCTTATGGGACATAAAACCTCTTACATGTCATATTTCCTCTTACCTATAAGACCTCCCTCTTTCTCTCCAAGTCAGATCTCTCACTATCAAACACACACTGATTTCTTATTCTCTGACCTTCCCTCTCTTACATAGACTACCTCCCCTCACTCATAATGAGACTACCTCCCTTCACTTATAATGACATCACTATCTCTCTTAGACATTTTCCCATCTTATACATGACCCACTACTTTGCACTGCACACCACCACTGAGTTATGTGTCGGATCTCACACACTCGAACACAGTCAAACATCTCCTTTCTTACTGTATTTCGGTATAATCCTTTGTTTGGGGGGTTACAGGAGCGAAGGTTTTGGTATCTTAGAAAATACAGTACGGTGCAGCGTTGAGGTAGGACCATTGTTAAGAAAATGAAGAACAGTTATGGAAGGAGTATGAGCATTTATGAACAGTGTGTGATCATTTTGGCCGAATTGTCAGAAAAATATCTACAGCACTACCTTTATCTGGATTTCTGGATTATATTTGAATAAGCAAGTAGTAGAAGATTGTAAATTACAAATTACTGCATTTCTAAATTTTTGAAAAATTGTTCAGTACAATGAAAGAACTAAGTATACTAAATATATACAGTATATGCTTTTATTTACAGTATATTATTTTATTTACATTAGGACACGTTCAGATCATTCTGCAGTCATGAGGTTACCTTAGTAATTTGCAGGTGAAAAATACAGAGATGAGAGGGGTACGAGAAATTAGATACTGTACAGTAAAATTTGCCTATGATGTGTTTTAAATGTTCCAAATTAACCACAAAACTTGTATATGCTGTCAGATAATTTTGTCATGTGCTGTAGTATACGACTGCTTTAGAAAATTTTGTTTAGCTTGATTTTTAACAGTTCATGAACACTGTACCACATAATTCGGTGGGCATGGGAAAGTGTGCGTGTTTTGTGTTTGTGTTTGTGTGTGTGTGTGTGTGTAAACTGGAAAAAACTATAGCTTTCCAGTAAGGTTTGGGGATAATGCTCTAATTAGTTCAAAGCAAAGTCTTATACTCCACATCCTTGTTGCAATATTTATATTTAATTTAAATTTTAATGACATTGTGAAGGTAATTTCAGCGGGGTTCCTTTGGAGTCAGTTCTACTGGTACTCTGTACATAATGGAAGGGTTCCATTCTAGCTGTAAAAGCATTGTGACTGGTTACAACCGAAATTAAGGAAGACCTTCAGTGGAGCGAGTCCACGTATTTATTATACTGGAATGCAGTACCAAAAAAAAAATTAAAATCAAACCAATACTATTACAGTATCTTTATTATAAATGTATGTTTTCAAAGTGCTCTTGAAGTTGAAATATGCACAAAAGCATGTTCTACAATTTGTATCATTAGAAACGTTAGAACTTGTGGGTATAGAGTAGCAACACGGTAAATAACAATATAAATGTAGAGGTTGTCAGGCAGTGGATGGAGCCTGGAATGAATCAATCCATTTAACTGATACTCCACTGTACAATGGTTTTGCAGATAAAGGATATACAGGGTATATAATGTTGGTCAGTTAGCTGTGCACATTCCAGAGTATGCATGACCGTTGAAGTGCAGCCGTGATGTGTTGTGAGTCAACTGGGGTCCTTTGAATATACACAAATGGTGTTCGGGACATGAACACGTGTAGTAACTCTCCAGAGTATCGGCACGTATATGGCCGCACTCGTCGCCCCTCTTGCACTTGGGCAGCTGAAAGGGTTAAGTGTGTTAAAATCTGGTCTGTTTTAAATTAATACTTTACAGCAGAACCTAAAAAATCTGGACCTCAAAATGGTAGACGTCTTAGAAACTTGGAAGGGTTTAGATCTTGGCAGAATTGTTAAACAACCAAGTCATGAATTTTTAACATACGGGGAAAGGGAGAGAAGTGGGGAAAATGCCAACTAATTCATCAATATGAATATGATATACTAGTGCACAATGAAATCACATTCACATGATGTATCAATAAGGACTGGTCAACCTGTATCATAAAATTTTTAACATTACTGTATATCAAAATTTGTCCATATAATCATATGAACATTTAAGCAATTGGGAAGAGTTCACTTAACTAACCGGGTTGCAAGTGTAGAAATGAATAGTCTCTGTTGGGGAAGGCATCTCAGTTTCAGCCAGCATCCATAAGTTAGGCCAAGGACATTGACACAGGATGGTGGTGTGTGTGTCTGCACCTTCCCTAATGGCACTGCTGGGGAAGGGTTGGTTTTGCCTTTCAACACGACGCAGCTTCAAGGCCACATCTCCTTCTCGACACTCATTCAGTTCTTCCATTACTGGTCCGCAAAACTAGAAGTGTTTCAATACCTATTTTAGTATAATTAAAATTTATTAACATTGATATTTTCATAACTATTAAGAATATTTTCATGATCATCACCCTGGGCAATGCTAGGCAGACAAGATCAATGTGGCATTGAATCAACATTAATAATGTTGATCCCTTTTTTATTAAAAATGACTTAAACATGTTTTGCCTGCTGGGTCTTTATTAGCCTCCTTGTTAAATCTATTTCATGCAGTCCTTGTACATTTTGACATTTGCAAGCACCTCTTTTAAGCATATGGTAGCTCACTCACTATATATGAAGTAAACTTGATCACAAGTAAAGAAATAAGTTGGTACCCATTTGTCATGAAAGCAGCAGCAAGCCAGTATGGCAATATGGCACTGTGGATCTCACAAAATTAATCAGAATTACCTGTGTAGCATTCTAAATGCCTGTGTAGGCATAACAAGTCATTTGATATTGCAGGAGGCTCAGTTCATTGAGCAGCTTTACTAGGAGCTTGGTTTTAGGGACTTATTTGCATGTGAACAAAATTATAATTCTGAAAATTGGGTCATTCTGTAAGATGTGTGACTAAGCAGAACAAGGCAATTTGGAGAGTGAGGGGGTATCTTAACCATCAGTTGCCTGTGGGTTATTCTTGTATGGGCAGTTCTAAAGTTTGCATAATGAAGGTTCCCATTATCTATTTTGTTCATATAAGAAAGGCAATGGAGATTAATCCATTTTTATATTACATTGTTAACTTAATGGAAGTTAACGCTTTATCTTTACAACATTTGCATATATGAAATCATTAAATAAGCAAAGATAAATATGTTTGCCTTTTCTGCTCCATAATTAAATTTTCAGATCGGTGAACCATTTTGGAAAGTTCACTTTAAACAGTACAAATAAGGGACCCTCATTGAAAAAAACTTGAATTTCATCAGAAGAGAAAATCCACAGGAGTCACGATGAGGATTCAAACCTATGCACTGGGTGTTCCCAGATGCACGCTCTGGTCGACTATGCCACAACATGGTCAAACGAATTGCAACCTGGGATACTACTGCACCCACGAGGAATCATGAGGCTTCCAATGAAACCAATCCAGGGTTTCACACGATTCCCCCATGCACTCTGGCTCTGTCGTCCAGTAATTCTACCTCTGATGCCCCTCTTTCAATACACAGAAATCACATTATCGTGATAAATCACGATAATGATACAATATCGTGTATTACAAGAGGAACATCAGAGGTAGAATTACTGGACGACAGAGCCAGAGTGCATGTGGGAATCGTGTGAAACCCTGGTTTGGCTTCAGTGGAGGTTCGAATCCTCATCGTGACTCCTGTGGATTTTCTCATTGATATTTCACGATAATGTGATTTCTCTGTACTGTGTATTGAATTTCATCAGTTGTGTTCAGTGTAAATTTCTTTTAATTCATAAATAGGTACTGCACTGTAATAGCTTTTCTTTTTTTTTCATAATGTTTGTAAATGGCTCGAGTGAGTGGCTGCACACCCAGGATAAAGTCGGCTAAAGACCCTTCAAACTCTTAGGGAACGTAACTCAGTGCATTGAAATAGTAATTCAGGTACAGTATTATGAATGCGGGCAATATAGTGGAACTTCGAAGCTGAAGGAGAAAGGGTTATTGGCAAAATGGTAAAGTCTGAGATCTTATGACAGTGAAATGGGAGTAAGATACAAGGTACAGAATTCATAAGATTTGAAGGCAATCTATTTCCTGAGAGGAAATAGTGAGAGTGTAGGTACAATAATGGGGTGTACAGCATATGGTGAGTGTAGGTACCATAACAGGGTGTAAATGGTGAGTGCAGGTAATATAACAGGGTGTAAAAGAGTGTTTAAGTACTGTACCATAACATTGTGTAAATGGTGATAGAGTAGCTTGAATTTGCAATGGACATCATACCTTAAGTTGTGCTCTATTTGAGACATGCTGGGATAAAGTATCATTAAGGCCAGTGAAGTGCAGTGGGCACTCGGAGCGGTCAGCACACCGGCAGAGTCGTTCTGTAATAGGCGTCAGCCAGAACCTCCGATGTGCCACGTTACATGCTTCGTTGGCTGATGAACACTCGGGCAGGTCGCGCTCACTTCGTCGCTGCATGTGTAAAGAAACTTGGTTATAAATAGAAAGTTTTAAATTATACCTGTTGAAGGATGCACTTTTACCTAGTCTTAACAGTGTGAATGAATCACTGTGGCTTTTGTTTTTCTCATAGTTAAGCATAATCATAGTGTATGGGGAGGTGTTTGTGCAACCTGTCATAATAATTCAACGTTACGGTATCTTAGTAACCCACGTACCAAATGCAACTTATTATGAAAAGTAGTGATTCACAAAAGTCCACTTTTTCTATGTATTGGTATGGTTAACCACTGGACTACACACCTGTTTTCGGTAAAAATTTAATGGTGCGGTTGTTAAGGACATATTTTTGTTTTTATAAATGTTCAGCTAATGTTAATGTCAAAATGTTTCCAAACTCATTTTCATTTCAAATTAGTTGGAAACACATGAGCCAGAGAAAAGGGTGGGTAATTGTCAGGAGAAAGCAGTAAGCCATTACAACTATGTAGCACTTGGAAGGGATATGAGGATTTAGGATCAGATGAAGGAGCCAGAGGAATGTAAGGACATACGGTGAGAATGGTAAACAAGTGGATTGAACCTAAGCCAGAGGTGGTGAAAGCAACCAACATTCACAGCTTCAAGAGCAAGTTTAACAGTAGTGGAACTTGTGGAAGTATAAAAATGTTGTGTACGTGTACTGTGTACATAATACACAGTGTTGTGTACCCCGCTAGGAGGCGGGGCTCTAGAGCGAGATATTGTTTACTGTAACCAAAACTTGGTAACCCCATACACACACACACACACACAGGGGGGGGGGGGCCTCGTAGCCTGGTGGATAGCGCGCAGGACTCGTAATTCTGTGGCGCGGGTTCGATTCCCGCACGAGGCAGAAACAAATGGGCAAAGTTTCTTTCACCCTAAGTGCCCCTGTTACCTAGCAGTAAATAGGTACCTGGGAGTTAGTCAGCTGTAACGAGCTGCTTCCTGGTGTGTGTGTGTGTGTGTGTGGTGTGGAAAAAAAAAAAAAAAAAAAAAAAAGTAGTTAGTAAACAGTTGATTGACAGTTGAGAGGCGGGCCGAAAGAGCAAAGCTCAACCCCCGCAAAAACACAACTAGTAAACACAACTAGTAAACACACACACACTCACATTTTTTTAGTTTTTCACTATACAAAGGGCAAGAACAAATGTATAGCATACATTGTTAAAACATTGTTGTAATGTGTAGGAGCTGATCCTAGAAAATCATTATTACCCCATTTCCATAGAGGACATAAGTGCCCTTGTAGAGGAGGGAGAGGTGTCTGAGGAGGTCACTGGGGCTGTGACTTGCTTGAGCAGTGGTCGGTGTGGAGTCTACCAGCATAACTGCCACAACTGCCAGGAATGTCACAGCAACTGTTGCTCTGGGTGTCGCTTCAGCCACCACCATGTTAGAGGAGGTTGAGCCTTGACCAGGGAGGGCAGGAGAACACCTGGTCTGGATAACTGATGTGTGCCGTGTGTGTGTGCTATTTATAAGGGACCAGAGGTACACTTTTCTACATTCCTGCAAATTTAAGAAATGTTAGCACATTTTGTAATAATTGGTAGGGAAATTGGGAGCATGTTTGAAATTAACCTTATAGTTTGGTTTTTCACACACAATGTCACACATAGGGGACCACTTTTCTCTTCACATTTAATAACGTGCCTCTCAAATATAAAAGAAAGAGTTTTAACCAGCTGCATAAAAACAAAAAGTTATGAAAGAAATTTTAGATATAGCAAGTTCACAAATTTTTTGGTCGATCTTCTTTTACATGGAATCTCCGAATCCTCAGTGGCAGCTCGTGAACTTGGACAAAAATCGTGATGGTGCTGCCAGTGTTTAGGATAGTATAAAATACCAAAAATAGGTAGTGAGTTAGGGGACAATTATCATAGAAAAAATCTGCTTCAACATACAGTACTGGAAAATTTAACAACAATAAAAATTTCATGAAGCTGATCGGTGTGTACTATCCTTGAGAGGTACACCTTAACATTTGATTGCTTAATGATATATAGCAGTACAACATATAGTAACATTTGCTGGTCTTGGATATACTGTACACACACTTGCTCAAGAATTCTTATTTGTTAATGATAACTTGTTTTGTGAAGTTACTTGCCATGAGAAATATTCGTTTTTTCAAGGGATGAAATGTGTTGGTGCTGCTGCTGTGTACTTTTTTAGGTTGCTTTATAAGAATAAACCAAGGTAATTCAGTATACTACCACAGATCAGCAGCTGGACATTGCTGCAATTAGAGGTTTGGAGGTTTTCATATATTTTGGAGGTTGGGTGTGTCGTGGGCACCATTTTTTTTTATTTTTTATGGTACAGTGTCACCTGCCACCCCCACTTATGATTTTATTTATGCTTCTATTGTGTTACTAAAAAAAGTAATTTTTAAGCCCTGGGTTATGTGAAAGGGAGTTTGTGGATGTTATATATAATTCATTTGTGTTGGAGGACAGGCAGTTTGTGTATACACATGTTAGGAGGCCCCTCTCCCCCAAGATCGAACTACAAACCTTTCCCAGGATGCAACACAACAACAGTTGATTAACTCCCTAGGTACCAGTTTACTGCGAGGTAAACAGAGGCATTAGGTGATTAGAAACTTGCCGAACCATTTTTGTTCATTTGAACCCGGCATTCTCGATTCTGAGTCAATAACGAACCCAACTGTACTATCGACACTATATTTTGTTTAACCTATACTTTAAAAGTACAGCAAAAATGTGTGAGGTGGAGATGAGGCAGAGTGAATACTAGGTTGGGCTGGTGCTGGGGATAATGGTGTGTGTAGTTACAGGATGAGAGTGTAGAGAGTAGATTATCCCAATAATATACTCGCTCCAAATATAGTGTTAATGTTCCTGTCAACCTTTGGAGATGAATGAGGTGAGGCGTTGCCCGGGCAACACGGTGAGGCGTTGCCCAAGCAATATAAGCAGCGGTGTAGCGAACATTGGCTAGTCTACTTTCAAGTGTGGTCTAGAGCAGACACTTGCGAGATACTGTACCAACGCTCAGTGCGCTCAACTCACACCAACGTATCACATGTGTACTTCTGTATATTCGACCAAATATATATATAGTATCTTAGTGTCTGTGTTTATTTGTCACCATACTTCACGTAACCAAGAACCGTTACATTGGTGACCCCAGAGAGTTTCGACGATACACGCCACGATGGACTACAACATGGACTCTCACTGGACCTCCACTGCTGCTGCCTGCTGTGGACCGCAGCCACCTGTCATGGAACGTTGCCAACACCCTTGCCATAGCTATGATTTTCATCGCGATCGTCTCTGCATTTTCATCTACTACGGCTTGCTGCTCCACAATCACTACTCACTCATCTGGCAGCTTCATCAGTAACTACATAATGTGTGATCTACAGCCTGTCCTGCCGACTCTCCGTCGCTGCCAGGGCACTGCTTGTTCTACAGGGGCGCCCACGAAAGCTGCTCTTTCGTAAGATTCATCTACACGTTCACTGCATTCTGATACTCTGCCGACTCAAGCCCTTTGCGCAGTACAGGACTTACAGCTTGCGTTTCCGACTCTTCGTCGCCTCCAGGACAATTCAGCTCTAGCAGTGATTACCTCGTTGTCCTAACTACGTGCCTACATTACCTCCTAATGTCCTGGTGCCCGAGCCCATCCGCCCCGGATCTAAATGCTCCACCAGCGACCCAAGGACGCAACAATTATGCACATTCTTCTCTCCTGCTACACCGAGCTTGTCCACACACTGCCTACATCTTTTAGTACCAGACTACAATTTCCACAGTCAACAATGTAGTACTCGGCGTGTACAGTCCTAATCAACCCAAGACGCTACAGCTTCGACACAGAGCAGACAGCAGACTACGACCGCATCGAGCCGCCACGCTCTCGCTCCCCGAGTTTAGACACTCACAATTCTCAATCGAGCCGCCACGCTCTCCCACATAGAGCTCCACGACTCCGGCCTCACTCAGCTCTCTGCTCTGCTCCAGGCTTCGTCTCAACGTCTGCGACACTGCTAAATCCAGAGACACATCCGCCAACTACGCAGTTCACTTTTCGACCCCAGTTACCAGCCGCACCACAACCTGATCCTACGACAACGGACGATCCTGTACGACCTCTCACCCTACAACCCCAGTTACCAGCCGCACCACAACCTGATCCTGCGACGACGGACGATCCTGTGCGACCTCCCACCCTACGACCCCAGTTAGATGACATCAGCGAAGAGGAGGAAGTTAACTTTGATGGTTATGTAACGCGAGCAGGGCGTACAATTCGCCGACCAGCTAAGTTCCTTGATCAAGTATTTTTCCTTTCATCCCCTGGGAGGGGGAGTTCTGTAGCGAGTAGATTATCCCAATAATATACTCGCTCCAAATATAGTGTTAATGTTCCTGTCAACCTTTGGAGATGAATGAGGTGAGGCGTTGCCCGGGCAACACGGTGAGGTGTTGCCCAAGCAATATAAGCAGCGGTGTAGCGAACATTGGCTAGTCTACTTTCAAGTGTGGTCTAGAGCAGACACTTGCGAGATACTGTACCAACGCTCAGTGCGCTCAACTCACACCAACGTATCACCTGTGTACTTCTGTATATTCGACCAAATATATATATAGTATCTTAGTGTCTGTGTTTATTTGTCACCATACTTTACGTAACAATAGAACCGTTACAAGAGTTACGCTCATGGTGTCCCGTCTTTCCAGCACTCTTTGTTGTATAACGCTTTGAAAGTACCGATGTGTAAGTGTGTTTGTGTGTGTGTGTAATTGTGTAAGATGATGTAAAAAGGATATAGAGGGGTATGTTTATTGGTAAACTTAATGGTCTCTTGGTGAGAGAGAAGACAAAGGAGTGGAAATAGTGATGAGAGGAAAGTGTGTTAAATGGTAGTAGAAGACTGATGAGGCAAGCATTATAGTTGTAAGTGATACAGATATAGATAATTGTGGTAGTTTGGGGGGGGGCAGTTATGTAGCAGCAGCAGCAGTAGTGGAAGTAGGACTATCATAGTTGAAATGTCAGTAGGAACTGGTATTGGGGAGAGGGGGGTGGTGTTGTGTGCAGCTGTGGTAGTGAGGGGGGTGTTGTGTGCAGCTGTGGTAGTGAGGGGGGTGTTGTGTGCAGCTGTGATAGTGAGGGGGGGGGGTGTTGTGTGCAGCTGTGGTATTGAGGGGGGGGGGGTGTTGTGTGCAGCTGTGGTAGTGAGGGGGGGGTGTGCAGCTGTGGTAGTGAGGGGGTGTTGTGTGCAGCTGTGGTAGTGAGGGGGTGTTGTTTGCAGCTGTGGTAGTGAGGGGGGGTGTTGTTTGCAGCTGTGGTTGTGAGGGGGGTGTTTGTGCAGCTGTGGTAGTGGGGGGGGGTGTGCAGCTGTGATAGTGAGGGGGGATGTTGTTTGCAGCTGTGGTAGTGGGGGGGGCTTTGTGCAGCTGTGGTAGTGGGGGGTGTTGTGTGCAGCTGTGGTAGTGGGGGTGTTGTGTGCAGCTGTGGTAGTGGGGGGGTGTTGTGTGCAGCTGTGGTAGTGGGGGGGGTGTTGTGTGCAGCTGTGGTAGTGGGGGGGTGTTGTGTTTTGTGCAGTTGTGGTAGTGGGGGTGTTGTGTGCAGCTGTGGTAGTGAGGGGGGTGTTGTGTGCAGCTGTGGTAGTGAGGGGGGTGTTGTGTGCAGCTGTGGTAGTGAGGGGGGGTGTTGTGTGCAGCTGTGGTAGTGAGGGGGTGTTGTGTGCAGCTGTGGTAGTGAGGGGGGTGTTGTGTGCAGCTGTCGTAGTGGGGGGTGTTATGTGCAGCTGTGGTAGTGGGGGGGTGTTGTGTGCAGCTGTGGTAGTGGGGGGGGTGTTGTGTGCAGCTGTGGTAGTGAGGGGGGTGTTGTGTGCAGCTGTGGTAGTGGGGGGGGGTGTTGTGTGCAGCTGTGGTAGTGGGGGGGGGGGTGTTGTGTGCAGCTGTGGTAGTGGGGGGGTGTTTGTGTGCAGCTGTGGTAGTTGGGGGTGTTGTGTGCAGCTGTGGGTGTGAGGGGGGTGTTGTGTGTAGCTGTGGTAGTGGGGGGGGTGTTGTGTGCAGCTGTTGTAGTGGGGGGGTGTTGTGTGCAGCTGTTGTAGTGGGGGGGGTGTTGTGTGCAGCTGTGGTAGTGGGGGGTGTTGTGTTGTGTGCAGCTGTGGTAGTGGGGGGGTGTTGTGTGCAGCTGTTGTAGTGGGGGGGTGTTGTGTGCAGCTGTTGTAGTGGGGGGTGTTGTGTGCAGCTGTGGTAGTGGGGGGTGTTGTGTTGTGTGCAGCTGTGGTAGTGGGGGGGTGTTGTGTGCAGCTGTGGTAGTGGGGGATGTTGTGTTTTGTGCAGCTGTGGTAGTGGGGGGGTGTTGTTTGCAGCTGTCATAGTGGGGGGGGTGTTGTGTGCAGCTATGGTAGTGGGGGGTGTTGTGTGCAGCTGTGGTAGTAGGGGTGTTGTGTGCAGCTGTGGTAGTGGGGGGTGTTGTGTGCAGCTGTGGTAGGGGGAAGGGTTTGTGTGCAGTTGTGGTAGGGGGAGGGGTTTGTGTGCAGTTGGGGGGTGTTGTGTGCAGCTGTGGTAGTGAGGGGGGTGTTGTGTGCAGCTGTGGTAGTGAGGGGGATGTTGTTTGCAGCTGTGGTAGTGGGGGGGGGTGTTGTGTGCAGCTGTGGTAGTGGGGGGGGGTGTTGTGTGCAGCTGTGGTAGTGGGGGGGGGGGTGTTGTGTGCAGCTATACTAGTGGGGACTGTGGTGGTGTGTGCAGCTGTGATAGTGAGGGGGATGTTGTGTGCAGTTGTGGTAGTGGGGGGGTGTTGTGTTGTGTGCAGCTGTGGTAGTGGGGGGCCCTCATGTAATCCCTCACATGTTAAGGCATTAATTAGGGTGGTGCTGGAGGTTGGCAGTCAGGTGGGTGGAATTATCATGGTGAACACGTTGCTGCCCTCCCACACCAACCAGTTAACACTGCATGGTACTAACAGAAGAATAGGTTGCACTTCAGTAGGTCTATGGGCTCATACTAAGTGGGTCCCATTTAAATTCACCCTCTCTTATCCATGTAAGTAATGAATTTATTATTGTATATGGTTGAATTGTCTTAATACGTAATACTAGTTGATAGGCCATTCATCCACAGCACTTTTTCCAAAGAGATCTTCCCTAATCACTTGCATAATCTTAACCTTCCATACCCCCACTTCTATATCTTTAAATAGTCCCATTTTTAGCAATCAGTATACAGTATTCCATTTTTGCTGTTTGAGATGGCGAAGCGCTGGAGAGACCTCTTCCTCCGTGCGTTGTAGGGCGCAGCTCGCAACACAATGGGTGATATAATGAGATGTTTGCACACTGGCGCTCAACACTGTGGGTAAGAGGCTGGCTGTGGAAGCTCCTCTCCTTTGTAACAATGATCACTCCCGCCTCTGCCTCTATAACTCCCTCTGCAGCTCCACCTTCACAAGCTTTGAAACTATGCTTAAATTACATCTCTCTGTTAATATAGAATTGTGCTTCAGATTGGAATTCATGTTGAGGTTCCCGGGTGAAAGTTAAGATGGTTATAATTGAAAATATGGTAAGTGGGCGGGAATTGGCGTGCGTGTAGAGCCGGTGGCGGCGAGTGTGCACTACCTGAGCCAAGAATCACGACTGAAGCCTCACTGCCTGGGAGGGTCGTCGCCACCACTGCTGGGGTCACACTCTTCCTACCCCTGATGCTGGGACATGGGTCTTGGCTTCTGTCTCTACTGCTGGGACATGGGTCTTGGCTTTTATCTCTACTGCTGGGACATGGGTCTTGGCTTTTATCTCTACTGCTGGGACATGGGTCTTGGCTTTTATCTCTACTGCTGGGACATGGGTCTTGGCTTTTATCTCTACTGCTGGGACATGGGTCTTGGCTTTTATCTCTACTGCTTCTCTACTGCTGGGACATTGGTCTTGGCTTCTATCTCTACTGCTGGGACATGGTTCTTGGCTTCTATCTCTATTGCTGGGACATGGGTCTTGGCTTCTGTCACTACTGCTGGGACATGGTTCTTGGCTTCTGTCACTACTGCTGGGACATGATTCTTGGCTTCTATCTCTATTGCTGGGACATGGGTCTTGGCTTCTGTCACTACTGCTGGGACAACGGTTTTTGCTTCCCTTTCTACTTCTGGGAAATGGGTAATGTTTTTCCCGCCACTGCAAAGTGAGGATGGGAGTAGCGCTCGTGCATATAGAGTCTAGAGAGTTAACTGAAGTTTGTGTGTGTGTGTGTGTGTATGGCCATAATGACCGCATCACAGCACCAAATATATTATCAATGCATTTGAGTCATTGTGGTGCCTCGTCGTGTTGGAATTGGCTTGAGTGTTCGCGCATGTGCAGAATGTAACTGAACCCAGATGTTGACATAAACTCATACTCTTGGTGGTCCTTTGCAGTACTAGTATATGTATCTCCACCACTATCGTATCCTCATTAAAAAATATATATATATATATAAATATATATATCCTAAACACATTCTTAACAAGGTAGCCTCCTCTCTCAAACAGTATTACAAATAGAAAATAGCTGGAAATAATATATTTTCCTTGCCTGCCGGTACAATTAACTGCTGGGTGTTATACAAAGTAAACTATTACACAAAGAGTAAACTGTATTATGGCAGCTTGGTGCTGTTGCGGTGGTGTGGCCGGCGTGGGAAGGCACTTAGTGTTGTGGAAGATCAGGCTGTCTGGGATTCAAGTTCATAACTATTAAAAGATGTTTGAACATTTATAACCGTATTTACACAAAAAGAGTACACAAACTTACAGTACATTGTTCACGCATTCAGGTGGTGATGGTGGCATCAACTCTTGCAGCTGTTAAATAGGCTAATGTAGGGAATGGAAGAAAGTGAGGGGGGGGAAAGTGGGATTGAAAGGAAGTTAGGGCTACAGGTGTGGAGGGATGATATAAAGGAGTTGCTGTTTGCTCTCCTGCTCTGCCTTCTTACTTTCTATATCAATTCTTTCATTCCTTGCTGCTGCTGTCATTTGTTTCCTTCCTTCCTCTTGATACTCTTCCTCCCCTTTCTTATCTTCCACTTACTCACTCCTCCATCCCTGCCTCTCACCTTGCCTGCCCCTCCCCCTACCAGCATCCCACCTCCCCTCCCCTTGCCAGCATCCCACCTCCCCTCCCCCATGCCATACTGTGCCAAGTGCACCTTTCACTAGGCCCTTCTTACGAGTACTCTGGGGAACCTTGTCCAGATATAAATAGCTTGGTGTGAGTGGCCCTGGTGGCTCGAGTAATGTGTAGTGTACATGGGTGTTGAGTGGTGATGTATGGCTTACTTGACCGAGGTGTGGACCTCCAACATATTCATATTCTTTCATATTCACCTTCCTGTCTCATTTTCCTTCATATTCATATCTTCCTTCTTCCCCACCCTATCTTTCTCCTTCCCCACCCTATCTTTCTCCTTCCTCCCTCTTATCCTCCCCTGCAGTTTTTCTCCTTCCTTCCTTCCTTCTCCCACTCTCTCCTGCTTCTCTCCCATTGTCTTTGATTTAATAATAATAACAATGATGGTGTGACACTCTTTTGGCTCTTGTGACAGTGGTCTGCGAATATAGGTTAGGGCATTAGGCAATCTTGATGACCGCCTTATCAACCAAGTGATTAGTGCTTGCAACCCACCAGCTAAAATAATCACAACCTGCATAAATTAGTTCCTTCGGGGACACTTGTATATTTTATTCAGGAATGTTACTTGTATATGATTCCGTACGGTGTAAAAGTTATGCAGTTTTGGTGGTACTGAAATAGGGCCTGGAGCTCACTTTTGAGTATTGGTCGTCATATTTTTCAGCGGTATTAAAAGTTAAATAGTTTGTGGATGTGATGAGAGGTGCAGATGCGTCTTGGGTAGGATACAACACTGTTTATGTAACTGTTTATGTAAAATAGGGGAGGGAGGGTATTGGCGGCGGCCAGGTATATTTGTGGTGTATGGCTCGTCCCCCCTCCCCCCTCTGGAGTGGGACGGCAGATTTTCTCAAGGTCAAGTAAGGGAGGGAGGGGGGAGCTTCCTTACCGTTGATCATATTATTATCCTTGTTGCAGCATTTGGACACAAGTGACAAGATGAACAACTCTGCATTTTTTATTATTATTGGGGGGGGGGGGGGGGGTATGTTGGGATGTTCACTTGCATGATGAGTGATGCTGTCCCATGAACTAGTCTCTTATCAAAGTTGATTCATTGTTAAATCAACGTTTTTTGACCAGATTCCTCCGAGCATTAGAAGCCTAATGCCAGGTATTTTTTCCCCTACTTGTGCTAGCTATTGCCCCTCCCTTGCTCTCTTCTTATACCTGTATTTTGATGTCATATGAATAATTCAGATACTTTTCTTACTTAGAATCCATCTTGTTTTGTTGTACAGGATGTCCCGTGTAAATAATGATGGTTGTTTAATTATGATGGAACAAATTACCAGGTAACATAATAGATGTGAGATTGCTGGACTGTGCAGACAATGAGCCACAACAACATGGCTGTGAGGATATGATGACCAAACCACACACCAAAATATGAGATGACAACGACGTTCCAAGTCGGACTGAAACGTCGTCATCTCATCTTTTGGTGTGTGGTTTGGTTATCTTCACTAGATTGTTTCAAGTGTAGGTTAGATATACCGATATATATGAATGAGGTTTGGTGGTTTGTAAGTAGGAGCTGCCTCGTATCAACGATGGGAGGTCCTGATGAAAACTGTGTTCAAAGGTTTGTTACACGAGGAAAGGAAAATGCAACGCTTTTTGTGAAACACTTAGAATGTAGTGAGTTGTGTGTAAACTCATTTTTGTAAACCTGTGTGATTTTATATTAAATGATGGGTTGCTTTGGGTCCAGGTCTCATCATACATACGATTGTTCACCTAACCTTATCCAGCCTGACCCACCCGAGTCTAACACAGCCAAACCTAAGGTAATTCATCAAAACATAAAGATATCTGATTTTCAAAATGGCAATATAACTAACAGTCTCGACCCATCTTATGTATAATTTGATGCTACTGACCTATCCATTGTTTTGCTCAACTGTCTATTTATACTCTCAAACTATTATTCATTGAGTGGTAGATACTTTGTGTGGTATGTTTGGTGGCTAGGTTAGGTGTTTATTTGTTATGGGTCAAAGTTTATTTGGGTTGTTTTTACATACACTGTAGAAGTTTGAACATAATCCATCTTTTTGCAAAGATATATTACGCTATTGTGATTTCCCAGTGTATAAAGCTTGATACTTTGATTTAACTGGGTTGGGTTAGGCCCATTTAGAACGATATGCTGGTTATATGTAATATTTCTGTTGTTGATTTGTGGAAATTGGGATCACTTGATTGCTTCAGCCAAGGTTAGACGTGGTTGAGGTTGGTTGGATATGGCCTATTAGCCCTCGTTTGGGCTCATAGGCCCTCTACTGTTTCCTTAATTTTTGTTTTGTTTGATAAAGCTAATTGGTTGAATTTAGTATATTTAAGCATAATTGGGTTGTCTGCACTATTTGAGGTAGGCTAGCTTTAATAGATTGGGGTAGAATATTGTTTTTAGATAAGTGTGTTTGTGATTTCAGAGCATGGAGGCGACGAAGGCACTGATGAACCACCACCTAGTGACAAAGTTGGAACTCAGCTTGGAGTCTGAGTGCAGGCTTCTCCTGCAGCAGTGGACATCGCCGCATTTCAATCATCTTTGCAAGAGATTCCTAGATACCCATCACATCCACCTCCAGAAACCCGTCAACCTGCCCCTGTAGGGGATGCTCCCTCCACTTATCGACACTCCCAGTCACCCTAACACAAGTTTTCACCTTAGTTCCATTCGTGTGCCACCAAGATGGTTGCACAGCACCAACGTAGGCAGTGGGCCATTAGTGGCGGTGGTGCACAAGTGAACTGTATGTAACTATTGATAATTTATTAATATGAATTTTGTCTCGAGCTATAGCAGCCACGAGTCGGATTGTTTGTTGTGGCCGCTCAAAGATAATGTTTACCAATGAATTTTTACTGAGTTTGATGCTGCTTGAACTCCAGAGTTATGGACAGTTGTGCAGAATTATATTATTATTATTATCGTGCCCAGGTGTGGACATACTTAAAATATGAAACTCTTTGTTCTGGAGAAGTATTTAAGAGGATCACTTGAGCAATCCGCTTATTCAAAGACGGAAATTTTTGGGTATCCACACCAGAATGATGCTCACTTGTTCCCAGCCTGAACTGTTATACGTGGAACTCAATATGTGATGACTGAACAATGCAGTAGTGTGATATTGGCGAATAATGTCTAATGCTGTACTTCACAGTGACTTGAGGCCTTTTTTTGCAAGCTCTCCCACCCTCCTCCAAGTGGCATCTGCTACTCCCACTTGGTGGGTAATAATGTATAGTGTACAGTTAACCGAGTATCTGCGCAAGTGGATAATATTTACTTTTAAGAGACTGCGATAGCATGGTGCGACATGTAGTTACTGAGAACAGCAGGGAAGCTATGTATCCTACTCCTTGACGTCTTAAGTGTGGCGAGATGTCCACATGCAAAACAAACACACACACACACACATACACACTCACAACTAGGTAAGTACACACACTCACTACAATAGGTGAGTACAAATAGGTGAGTACACACTAGCAAACAGTGCTCTGGGGTCATAGTCCTAAAGGGCCTGGGTTCGATTCCTGGCTGAGAAACAAATGAGCAGAGGTTTTTTACCCGATGTGTGTCTTCACCTAGCAGTAAATAGATACCTGCTATAGGCTGCATCTTGGGGTGGGTGTGTGTGTGTGGGTGGGTTAGAGGTGCAGAGTCCAAGAGCTAACTGCTCAATCCTGCCACTACAAATATTAAATATAGACACAAACACACACCTATTTAACTGAAACCCCCACATCTTTTCCCAATTTTCCACACACTGTACCACATCCTTCCCCTTCACTCTTACCCCTGATCCTTGTCTTCATATTCCCCTTTAAAGTGCTATATACAGGTAGTCATTCTGGCTTAGTGCTTTCTCCTCATAATTATGTTGTCCCTCACCCTCTACCTTAACCAAATACAACCAACCTACCTCTCTACTCCACCTCTCACTATCTCCTCTACCCCTTCTTTCTCTTAGCCTTCCTGTCCCTTCCCTTACTCTCTTGTCTTCTGCCCTTCCTCTCATCCACTCCCTCTCGCCCCCTTCTTCTCCTCCACTCCCACTCCTTCCTTCTTTCCCTTCCCAATTACACACAACTTGTGTATGTTCCCAGGGTTCACCAATGCACAAGTTATATTTTACATGAGAGTTATTTTATTGGGATGTGTTCCTGTGGTGTGAACGTTTTGTATATTTCAAGTGAATGTTGATATGTGATTTTTGTAGTTGATTTTTTATAGTTGAGAGTTGTTGATAAAGTACAACCTATATGCTTATGGCAGTCCTTGAAACATGTCGTTCTCATGCAATGAAAGTTATTGAATTTTGATCAAATGATTTATTTTAATACCAAACCATAAATGTCTGAAATATTCCTGAGTGGAAAGTGTGTTATTAGAATGAATTTGTAAGGGAAGTGGCTTCATAATTTATCTTCATATATACTCTGTAAATATTTTTAATCTTTAATTTCTTATTCATCAAGTGCTGTATGTTAATTTTATGGGTAAATTTGGTTATTTATCCCATGTACATTGTGTTCCTGTCTTTGTTCTGTATTTAGCCTAGTCAGATATCCAAACTTATTATTTGTTTTCCTTACTCTTGTATATCACTTAGTAGCACTAAAGTGACTCTGGTCAGGCCACAGGTTTTGTTAAGAGGTGCCCAGTAATAATGTTCTTCACACCTCTTGGTATTCATTCTGTCTTCCTTAAGTAATCGAAACTTTTTCATCCATTTTCTAATTGTACCTTTAACAAATTTTTATTTCATGTAATGAATTCAGCTCATGAATTATTCCTTTATGGACTTTCACTGTGTCTAATATAATCATGCAGCAAACTTATTTATTGTGAAAATACCTTTTATTTTATTAAGATTTTGCTGAATCAAAGATATGTGGCATTGTAACAGATCTCAGTGATTTCCCCAAAGTACAATCTTCATCACTTGCACCAACATTTTGTGAAGGCAGATTTGCCCTTCCTCATAGCCTTCTTCTCTCCTCCTCTTTATCACTTTAGTTACGTAGTACACGACCCATTGTACATACTTGTACGGTTTGTAAGTATAAATACATGCATATTTTCACCAATATATTGTATGATTTCCTATTACAGTATAGTACTGATTTCATGTAATGTTGAACTGAGCAGAAAAGTAACTTATCAAAAGAGAGGACCCACAAATTGCCCTATGAGGCAGAGTCGGTAACACTTAGGTAGCAGCAAAGTGCCACCACTGGGCACAACACATGAAGCACCCCTAGTCAAACCAACCAAGCATCAATAACCAAAGGTCATTTTCAGAAGACCACCAACTCGCTATTCACCAGAAAAGGAGACAGCAGTAACAAACATAATGCTCATCAGGGCCAAAAGAACAAAAAACTCCCACCTTCGGAGAACATGAAGCTCCCAAAACTTACAACCAGAGGCACGTGCTAACAGGAAAATTGCCTTAGGAAAAGAACACCGACCGAAGGGGAAACCTTAAATCGAGGAGAAAGACAGAAAGAGTAACGAAGACACAGTCAAGAGGCCAAAAGGGCTCAAGTGATACATGATACAAAAGGGATCAAGTGCCCAGACCAACTGGGCTGTGGTGGGTATGTGGGCCTGCGGGCCACTCCAAGCAACAGCCTAGTGGACCAAACTCACAAGTCAAGCCTGGCTTCGGGCCGGGCTTGGGGAGTAGAAGAACTCCCAGAACCCCATCAACCAAAAAATACATGACCAGAACAAAGGTGAATGTGGGACAGCTTCCTAAGTGGTGCCAAGGTATCTCCAATGCTGAACACAAGCAGTAGCAACTCCTCCAGGGCTAAACAATAAGCGGCAACAGTATTCAGCATGAGAGAGAGAGATCAAGAAACGACAAAGAAAGGAAAGAAAGCACCACACACAGACAGAAGAATGATGATGAAAGGAAGAAGTGGCAAAAAGTGCACCAAGCAATTATCTGCTCACCACAGAGATTGGCAAGAAAGACATGTCAAAGATTAGACACGAAGAGTCATGGAAAAGTTTGAACCAGCAAGGTATGTTACTGGAGCTGATGAAAAATACCCGGGTTCAGGCACTGAGCAAGTAGTGTCTAAAACCAAGACTGAGCAGGCCACCAAGTAGTCAGAATAACCACCTTTCCCCAATTGAAATCAACCTCTCCAGGACTCTAAGCTACAGTTGGACCAGGAGAAAAAGAGATAAAGAAACCCCCACTGCTATCAGTTCACCTGAAGGGTATCCACTGTGAAAGCCTCACGACCAGGAAATGGAGCTATGTAAGTGGAAGGTGCAGAGTCCAAGCCGAGAAAGAGTGATCCACGTCAGTGCACCTGAACAACTTGCAAAGCCACTGGAAGGAGGCAGCATTGATGATCCACTCAATGGAGATGGGAAGGAAGCGAGAGAGACTATCCGTAAGAGCACTTTACATTCCCAGGTGAACAGTGCAGAGAACGATACCTCAAGAATCCAATAGATAAGCTCTCACACTTGGAAAATAATAGAAAGACTGGCTCCAAACCTGCACATAAAAATAACACTACCTGAAACCAGAAAGCATGGAAAGATGTTCAAAATAGCCACACTGAAAAGCAGATGTGCAATAAGTATGCTGAGAGAGAGAGAACACTTTTCAACATCAAAGACCCAAGACTTTTCAAAACTTACCCTTACACATTACACACAAGCCAAACAGAACTCTGCAGCTTATGGGGCTAAGTAGTTTGGAGCCAACTCGGCGAGATTGGTTTAGGGAGCCACAAGGGGCTCCCTTAGAAGCGTCCTGGATACCATTAAAGATACTAATAGAAGAGCAAAAAGGATACAAGTCGAGCAATGTCAAAAGTATTGAATTCACCAATGATTTTATCAAGGAGAGGGAAGTAAGAGACTAAAAAAAGGCACTGGAAAATCAAGACTTTCCATAATCTTGAAAATTGGATGCAGAGGATGAGTTACAATACCGTGGCTGAAGAAATGATGACCAAACCACACACCAGAAGATGGAGAAGCAACGTCGTCTCGCTTCATCCTGGACCAAGTTGTACCACACGACTTGATAGTGGTATAAGATGGACCAAAACGTCGTCGCTTCTCCATCTTATGAGTTGTGGTTTGGTCATCACTGAAAACTGGATATTCCACAAAGCATGTGACTGTAAACAGTACAATGTAGTTTAGGCAATAAGGTGTGGGTTTTTGTTCATTAAGTGCCATTATGTGCAAGGTGTGATGATGGAGGCAAGAACAATGATGATGCCATGGCTCTTTGCCCCCCTCCCTTCATGGGTCTTTTTGTTACACACCCACAGGAAGCAGCCCGTGACAGCTGTCTTAACTCCCAGGTACCTATTTACTGCTAGGTAACAGGGGGCATCAGGGTGAAAGAAACTTTGGATCGAACCCGGAACCTCAGGATTACGAATCCGAAGCGCTGTCCACTCAGCTGTCAGGGGATAGGCATGTATCTACCAAAAACTAACTCTTGACTCATCCACCACCATGACATACCCAACAGCTGGCCTGAATCTAGATCTAAAACATATCAGTATGCGAGTAAAGCTCAAATGGTCCCCAAGCATAGATATCACTATTATGACCCTTAGACGATTTGAACCTGAACCCAAGCCGCCAGGGGTCTTCCCCACCAACTGCACCAGTATTTTGACCACAGTGGTCATGGGTGACGAATCTTCTGAGTGGTCACAGTTACAGTGATATAAACAGACCTAGATTGCCAACAACAACAAAGTTCTTTGTAAAAAATCAAGACCAAGTGCAGAGAACAAAGTCAAATCCCAACAACCAAGAGTAAGAGACTGCTTGATAAATACAAATACCTGCTGTATTATGAAAGCTGTAATTGACTCCTCTGTACTTTTTATATTATTACCACTCTTCAAAATAAAAATAGCAAAATCACAATGGATTTCTAAACAGCTAATCTCAAATTCAGGTGAAAAAAATCAGCAGTCCTTCACACAATTTGTCTGCAGATATGTATTAGGCAACCTTATGTACCTCTTCGTAATGTCAGCCAAGGTGGTGGTGGTGTTTGAGGGGATTCTGCAATCATGTCAGCTAAGGTTAAAATGCACAGCAAGTTTCATCACTGATTTTCCTCCATTGGTAAAAATTATTTCTAAGTGAACAGGTATTAATAATAATAAACTTTATTAAATTATTTGATGCTTAAGAGTACAAATACTGAAGTTATAAAAGAAACTTCTGTATCTTTGTTTTTACAAAATTATCTTTTGATCTCTTAAAAATAGAGCTAAGTATAGGCAACTTTTTATGTATAATGCTGACGTCTCACTTTGAAGATCAAAGCAAAATTAGCATTTTATACATACATAGTATTCAGCAGTTATACAACATTGAACTCGGGTAAAATACCGGAATGTATCAACTCATGGAACATGGCAGGGGCACTCTTCCTGCCATGTTCCTTCACCATAACATACCTCCTTTGGTGAAAGCATCATGAGCTCATACACTACATACCATATCAGGAACAGTCATTACATACCTGTAGTGTATGTCCCTGGGCATCATCCTATCAAATTGTCTGTTTACAACCAGCAACCTTAGCTATCATTTCCTCAAATCATATAACTACCAGTGATCTAGATCATCCAATATTCATACATCTGCATTCAGGAATCTTTGTTGCTACTGACTCCAGTCAGTAGACTGGAGACTCTGTACAAATTCAAGTTATTATCCACTTGTCATTCATCTATAGCCAGGGATCCAAATTTACCCGAGGCTCACTATTTCTAGCGGTGTCGATTGGGACAGAAAACCAGCGAGCTTGTCAACGGTCCCCCTGATTCTTCCTGAGGATTTTTCCAGTTGGATTTTTGTCTTGACATTCATGGATTTGATAGATAAATAATGTCTTGGGTTTATACAGTAACACAATGGATGAAAAAGCATCTGTTTTCTGTCCCTTTTGTGGCTTGTTGAGCTTGATACTGTTGCCCATTGTGAGAGTTCCAATTGACCTTGAAAAGAATTCAAATTTCATTCAGTCCCAATTTTTCAGTTATGTTTGAGAGTTGACTTAAGTTTTTGGATGATTGTTTTGACATCCCAATCATTGTATTGACATTCAATAACTGATTATGTGGTCTATGATGGTCGCAGCACTTGTGGAGGCACTGTTTACTTCTGACAACCTTGCAACATCAAGGCAGCAGACAGGTAGGTTAAGGTGTTACTGTCAGCAAACAATTTTTACTGCAATTTTGTGATTTGTTTTTCCCAAGACATTATTCAAGAGCTGTGAATGTATAGATATTCCTATGACACTGAACCTGTGTCATAGGAATAGTGTCATTACAGTCAGGGTCGTGCTTGATTTTCAGATGAGAACTTAGGAAAGGAATGGAAATTGTGCATAGCAATTATTGAGACAACAAATCAGTTCTTGCCAAGAAATACAGTATTAACAGTATTTATACAGACACCTTACATACACATTAAAGCTGAGTTGAGAGAGAGAGAGAGGGGAAGTATCATATAAGCCTGTGGTACTGTATTTACAATATCCGGAAGGATACATTCCATACCTACTGTTGCAAGATGGCTGGTCTAGATCACCATGTCCTAACTCTTCTCAATCAGCACCAAAACCTTAATTACATATAATAAAATATTTCCTTTTATACAGATAATGTTGAGTTCCAGTGGTAGGTATTCACATTACCAACTCTGTAACTTGGAAAACAATATTACTGTATTTAAAAAAAAATCTTCCACAAAATGGAATAAAAAGATTCTTATGGATAAAACAGGTATTGTAACCCAGTGGGCACAATATCCTAGAGTAACACCGAATTGTCATCAACATCAACTAATGACACTCTTAGAATGTTCCCAGTGGGCACAACATACATGGAAATTTTTAATTATCTGCATTACAAATAAACTGAATTATACATAAATGAATGTGATGAGATTGAGCATTTTGTGTTTCACTGATGTACTGTACAGTATTTCATTATTGTGCATCACTCCTCAGTGCCAATCTGACCAGTCTATATCATCTGAAAGATAAGTGTCTCGGCCACTAAGTCCTTCCTCAAAGGCATCACGACGTTTAGTAATAGCCGTCTTTAGAATGAGGGAAATGTCATTAAGGGAGTGTTCAGGCATGTGGGTCAGATCAGAGAGAGCAGATGGCCGCACAGGACGCAACCGCTGTTTCTGGCTCATCAGTTGTTCTGATGTCACCATGGGACCAAGCCTTGTTCCCGACTCTGTTCGTCTGGTTTCAGGAGTCCGTATCCTGGAGCGTCGCTGAGGGCTGCGAGGAGAGTGCCGCCTCTCTGGACTGTGGTGAAAATTGAAGTTATGGTAACGATCTGGTGAGCGGCGATTATGTTCGGGACTTCGAACTGCAGGAGAATATCGTCTCTCTGGTGATAGCCGTCTTGGACTTGCTGAATATCTCCTTACTAAGTGATGATCATCCGGGTCATCCAAGACATTGTTGGAGCCTGTCGAACTGCTTCCCTCAAGGCTGGTCCAGGACTCTTCAGGACTCTCACCGAGACTGTCCCTGCTGTCTACTGCTTGCTCTGGATGTCTACTATTTCTCTTTACACGCACATTTTTCTCTCCCAGTGCCTGCCGCTCCCTGCTGTAGAACTTGCGCCTGCGGATCTCTCGACGCAGTTCAGAATGCCTATCACTGCTGCTAAAACGTCGCTCATTACCACTAGAGTGCTGGTCTCTGGTACTAAAACGGCGATCTACACATTCTATGTGACTTTCTAGACTATTGGACCGTCGGTCATGAGAGGACTTTTCTTTATTCATACTATTTCTTTGTGCAATAGCCTGTCTTGAAGCACGTTGTCCTCGGTCATAAGCACATTTGTCATCCCACTCAGAGTCATCAACACCTCGATCTCTGCTTTGTCTCATCTTTTCCCTCGGCATCCTCTGTTTGTCTCTGCCCCGGTCTTTCCCATCTCTTGCATTCATTTCCCTGCCTTCTCTGTCTCTTTTATTTTCTGAACTGTGCCCGTTGCCTCTTCGACGATCTTTACTTTCAGGAGAATTCTCGTCCAGGTGATTCCTGCGTCTGTCTCTGCTCAGCCCTTTCTTCCCTCTGGGTTGATCAATACTACTCTCCCTTGCATCGCCCACTCTGTTGGAGTCACTGCGGAGTGGACGCAATCTCTTATCTGGAGATCGACGACGATCATTCTTATATGGCACAGATTCCTGCTGAGGGTCCTGCTCTGAACTTCTACCCAATGACTGGCGCACAGGTGTCAATTCCCTAAGACGAGACTGCTTGCTCGGGGAGGATCGTCTGGCCTGTTTTGACCTATCACGCGGTGACCTGGACAACTTCCCACCTGCAGTACATATCAATATTATTTGAATCCAGCTAATCTGCTGAAATTTTTTATAACTTTGCCAGGATAATATAAGCCAATACAAAGTTAAATGTGCATATGATACATATAATACAACTTTTAATATGAATCTCAGTGGCAAGTATTATTTTATGTTGTCAATGCTTGTGGAATTTATCTTATTCTTTAGTTTATATACCTAATCATTATATATGTAATTTTATGATAGTATATGCAACATGTAGTCATTAGACAAACTATAAAACATATTTCTCATTAGTATCAATGCACAATGCTCAAGATTAAATCTCAAATTATAATATTTTATATGGGGCATCAAAATACAGTGACTCACAGGTAAGGTCTTAAAAAAAAACTCACAAATAGTGTGGGTCGAAATATAGTGTATAAACCACAAATGGAAAAGTTGAGGTCAAAACAACCAGAATTTCACAGCAGGGTGAGGGGTCAAAATAAACCAGGACCTCTCCACACAGTGAGTGTCAAAATAAACAAGGATCTCTGTACAGTGAAGGGTCAAAATAAACCAGGATCTCTCAGCACAGTGAGGGTCAAAATAAACCAGAATATCTCAGCACAGTGAGGGTCAAAATAAACCAGAATATCTCAGTACAGTGAGGGTCAAAATAAACCAGGATATCTCAACACAGTGAGGGTCAAAATAAACCAGGATATCTCAGCACAGTGAGTGTCAAAATAAACCAGGATATCTCAGCACAGTGAGGGTCAAAATAAACCAGGATATCTCAGCACAGTGAGGGTCAAAATAAACCAGGATATCTCAGCACAGTGAGGGTCAAAATAAACCAGGATATCTCAGCACAGTGAGGGTCAAAATAAACCAGGATATCTCAGCACAGTGAGGGTCAAAATAAACCAGGATATCTCAGCACAGTGAGGGTCAAAATAAACCAGGATATCTCAGCACAGTGAGGGTCAAAATAAACCAGGATATCTCAGCACAGTGAGGAGTCAAAATAAACCAGGATATCTCAACACAGTGAGGGTCAAAATAAACCAGGATATCTCAATACAGTGAGGGTCAAAATAAACCAGAATATCTCAGCTTAGTGAGGGTCAAAATAAACCAGGATATCTGCATAGTGAGGGTCAAAATAAACCAGGATATCTCTCCACAGTGGGAGTCAAAATAAACCAGGATATCTCAGCACAGTGAGGGTCAAAATAAACCAGGATATCTCAGCACAGTGAGGAGTCAAAATAAACCAGGATATCTCAACAGAGTGAGGGTCAAAATAAACCAGGATATCTCTGCACAGTGAGGGTCAAAATAAAACAGGATATCTCAGCACAGTGAGGGTCAAAATAAACCAGGATATCTCTGCACAGTGTGGGTCAAAATAAACCAGGATATCTCTGCACAGTGAGGGTCAAAATAAACCAGGATATCTCTGCACAGTGAGGGTCAAAATAAACCAGGATATTTCTGCACTGTGAAGGTCAAAATAAACCAGGATATCTCTGCACAGTGAGGGTCAAAAGAAAAAGGTTAAATAATATGTAGACTAAATTACAGAGGCACTGCAAAGAAATATATTCTATCCTAACTAGTGAGACTATTGTATTATGGAAAAGTGTATTTATTGAATATATAGTATTATTAATAACAGAAAAAACATGTTTGTAAAATGTTAAAAGTGGAATGTTACTTCTCACCACTACATTCTACACCTTGGTGTGTCTTGCTGTAAGAGGAAGATTTTTTTAACCGACTTTGGTGTCATAGTTGAAATGCACACATGCAGGGTAAGGCCACGCAGAGTGCAGAGGCAGAGTGCACCCTGGGTGGACTCTGCTTGTCCACAAAGAGTTAAAATTAACCAGAATCTCGCAGCAGAGTGGTGTCTTAAACCACATTGCAAGTCCCCGTGGCATAGTGGTAAGACGTACACCTGGCGTTATGCGAGTACTTTGTCCTGGGAGGATTTACTGGGTGCAAATCCTTAACTGTAGCCTCTGTTTAACCCAACAGTACAATGGGTACCTGGTTGTTAAATGATTTGGTGGGGTCTTATTCCAGGAACATAGGATTAAGGACCTGCCCGAAATGCTATGCGTTTCAGGCAGGAAATACATACAGAGATACACAAATACATACAAAGAGAACACCTATCACATCTTGTAAAAGATTTAAAACAATAACTATATTGTAAGCAAAATATGTATAAATAGCTATCCTAAATTCTCAATATGGGTTGGGAAATTCCTACAACTCCCTTCACCCTCTCTGGTAATTTGGAGCCCAGTCTCCAGTCTTCGACAAGTACAGTACTGTATTGATAGCTACAAAAAACTGATTTAAATGTTATAAAATTAAAGTGATCAAATGAGTAACCTTTGTCATCTCTGGTGGTGTGTCTGGCAGGTGTTGGTTGCTCCCCATCCACACTGTCATGATGGTGAAGCTGGCCCTTCACCACCTGGTCTTGGTGTCTATTGCTGTTAGCTCTCTGGAGCTGCAGAGATCGTCGCATGAGCTCCACACTCTGCTCAACCACACCAATGATTGTCCTGGAATGAGCATTTAGCTAGACACCTAAACTTGATGTTTGAATCATCCCAGTGGCAGTTCTGCTCATCAAAAGTGACCCACTAGATGCTTGGATTAATCACTGTATCTCCAGTGTTCAAGCAGTCAGCATCTCACCCATTTAAAAACTTATAAATTCAAGTAAACAGAAATTTACCAGTAAATGTTTCTATTTTTCATTAATACAAAGATCTGATTTGACAATTTACATTATTTAATTGGTTATAAAGATGTGATGTACTTCTAAAGATTAAACAAAAATTAAATTCATAATGCATTTATTTTCCTAAAGTCCTAAAGACTTCTCAAAATAACTTTATCTAAATTGTGAAACTGAGTACATAATGTACAATGTAAATGAGCTAATTTCAGTGTACCTTATGCTATCTTTCTCTAATCTACAGTGTATTTAACTTTAGTACAAAATATGAATACCACTATAGGTCTTGTGAGAAAATATTGAGGCCATTTAATGGGATCAAATCCGTGTCCCAAAACGGAACACTTTCAACTGGGCCATGATAAGAGGTCATAGTATGGGATCAAACCCACATCTCTGAATTCCCCAGAGTTGGATCCCACTATAATAATTTCTCATAAATACACCACATTGTTGAAATTTGTGCACAAGACCTATCATATCAAACTAATTTTCTACAATCTATGTGGAAACCTTTCCTTAAAAATTCTAAATAAAATCCTGCATTTAAAACTAATCTGGAATAATGTACTGCAGTGTTGTAGTTATCAAAAGGAGCAACACAAGACCCACCTGGCAGCTGTGACATCAGAGAGGAGAGATGGGGTGATATTAGCTTTGTGCAGAACACCTCGCCATGATGCGGGCACCGCTGCTGACTCCAGGGCGCCCAGGATCTCTTCGAAACTTGGTCGTAGGGAGGGGTTCTGGGCCCAGCATGAGGTAATGAGCTCCTTCAGTTCCCGAGATACGCCACTAGAGGGCAGTGGTGGTCGACCTCCTGCTTCAATGGTCTCCATGATCTATGGGAGAAAATAACGATTTTTAATAAGTCTTTACATGATCTATGGGAGAAAATAACGATTTTTAATAAGTCTTTAGGATGGCACAAACTTCAGACCAGATGTGATAACTCATTCAAACATTATAATTTAATCATAATATTGGAATAGTGAAATTTTTATGTTATTTGGAGTTCTGGCTTTTGGTACACAAGTCATTATTGAAAAATTTCATGAAACTTTCCCTATTAAAAACAATTTGGGAATGAAGACATTCATACTGGACAGTCCCTGAACAATTGTAGCCATGTCAGTTAGTGCTAAAAATACATCCATATTGTCTAGTATTTCTTGTGTATTTACCATTCTTGTAATTACTTTAATGTACAGTAGTATATAATTACTTTTAAACATTGTATACGACTAAAACCATGACGATTATACAAGTCTACATGAATAATTTCACTACAATTTTGCTACAATCTCAGTCTACGAAAATGCATGACCAATGTAGAGGATCACTAGCAAAGGGGCCCCATCTCTGAGTTAATAATGCTACCAGTAATCACCTGAAAGATATCAAGGCCCTTGAAGGGGTGGCTGGCGGCGAGCATCTCCCAGAGAATGATAGCGTAGCTGTACACGTCACACTTGGCCGACACCTCACCTTGGGTCAGCAGCTCAGGAGCCATCCATGCGGGCGTCCCTCTAGCAAGAGAGGAAAAGCTTTATATACAAGGCAAAACACAACAAATATTCACCCATACAGCTTACATGGTTTAACAGCAAAAGGGATGGGAGAATAATAATAATAATAATAATAATACTAATAATAATACTAATAATAATAATAATAATCATAATAATAATCATAAAATCATAAATAATAATAATAATATAATAATAATACTTTACTGATATAATATTTATAAAAAATAAGATTTTAAAAATATAAAATAAAAAAATTGGCTAAAATGTATTTATAGAAATGATAAATTACCAAAAATATAAGTACAGTATGAAATTACCTCTACAGCACCTTGTGTAGTACTGTATTCACACCACATCAACTTTTGCCTCAATGAGCTTTTGCCCAGTACTCCAGTACTCACCAGGTGGGGATTCACAAGAGGTGAGGCACACAATGTCAGTAACAAAATACAGTACAATCAATCAATACCTGTTCATAATTCTAAATTTATTTCCCAAGACTTGTATGCATATTTGGGAGTTTTCCACCATATGAATGTACTGTGTAGGATTTACCTGAGAGCCGAGTGAACAATTCTTCGTGGCAGGGGATCGTATTCCAGGGACCATAGGATTAAGGACTTGCCCGAAACGCTACGCGTACTAGTGGCTGTACAAGAATGTAACAACTCTTGTATATATCTCAAAAAAAAAAAAAAAAATAGATAGTCTTGCCTGATAGAGCCACCTGGCTTGTGACTGTCTTGCCTGATAAAGCCACCTGGCTTGAGACCGTCTTGCCTGATAGAACCACACGGCTTGTGACCATCTCACCTGATAGAGCCACGCTGGGCGGGAGAGCCAGTTCGTGACCGCCTCAAGATAGAGAAGCCGAAGTCCGCAATTTTTGCCCTGTAGTAGGAGTCAAGGAGGACGTTCATAGACTTGAGGTCAAGATGAAGTACCTACAACACCAAGAATAAAACACTTGTAGGGTTATACAACTTTATGCAATTATTCTTTGTTACTTTTATTACTCTTATTTTTATTGTCATTATTGTTATCATTAGTTAAAGAAAGCACATTAACGTGGTATATATAAATGAGTACATCAACTGGAGCAATAAGGTGACTCAAAGCAGCGACTTAAAGGTGTCATTTACCTGCTGAAGTAGACACCAAAGGTGCCATTTACCTGCTGAAGTAGACACTAAAGTGCCATCTACTCGCTGAAGTAGATACCAAAGGTGCCATTCACCCGCTAAAGCAGACACCAAAGGTGCCATTTACCCGCTAAAGTAGACACCAAAGGTGCCATCTACCTGCTGAAGTAGACACCAAAGGTGCCATCTACCCGCTAAAGTAGACACCAAAGGTACCATTCACCCGCTAAAGCAGACACCAAAGGTGCCATTTACCTGCTAAAGTAGACACCAAAGGTGCCATTTACCTGCTAAAGTAGACACCAAAGGTGCCATTTACCTGCTAAAGTAGACACCAAAGGTGCCATTTACCTGCTAAAGTAGGCACCAAAAGTACCATTTACCCGCTAAAGTAGGCACCAAAAGTACCATCTACCCGCTAAAGTAGGCACCAAAAGTGTCATCTACCCGCTAAAGTAGGCACCAAAAGTGTCATCTACCCACTAAAGTAGGCACCAAAAGTACCATCTACCCGCTAAAGTAGGCACCAAAAGTACCATCTACCCACTAAAGTAGGCACCAAAAGTGCCATTTATCCGCTAAAGTAGGCACCAAAAGTACCATCTACCCACTAAAGTAGACACCGAAGGTGTCATTTACCCTCAAAAGTAGACACCGAAGGTGCCATCTACCCGCTGAAGTAGACACCAAAGGTGCCATTTACCTGTGGTTCGTGCCGGTGGAGGTAGTTCATACCCTGAGCCACGTCTTTAGCCACCACGAAGTACGCAGCGTGGTCCAGTCTCTCCCGACTGCCAAATGAAAATAGTGAAGTAATTCATTATTGAAATAAAACCTAACCAAAAACCCAACTCAAACAAACAGGAAATTATTTTTTCTCAAAAGAAAATGCAAAATAAGCAAAATATAATTAACTAATGTAAACATGTGAACTCCTGAAAATTATATTTTTAATTTATGGTTTCTTATTGAACATTAAAACAACTTAGAAGAAAATGTTCGAAGAAGATACATTAAATGACATACAATCTGATCCATATCCTACCTGTACAAGTTCAGGTATGTTTATTGAGACGAGCAAGAAATCCTACCTGTACATGTTACCTGGTCTAGAGTTAACTACAAGCAACCTTGGATTGCCTACAAGCAGTCTGAGTAAAATAACACACCAAGAGCTTCAACGAAACCTTTTAGATCTGAGACAAAATGATTATAAGCCATTCCATCTATCATGTTGCTATCATGCGAGAAGAGCCACATATATATGGATCATCCGATAAAATCAGCAGACTCCTAGATGTTACTACTGCTTGGCTTAGACTCAGCTACAAGTATCTTTAGGGGGAGTCTGCTTACCTGCTGACCAAATGTAAACCGTGTCACCTAAATTATTCACTGTGTCACTTGAGAGCAAAAAAATACACGAATTTAGGGACAGTTCTATAACAAATGTTTAGGCATTTGTAAATATTTCATTAAACTGATCTACTAGCTAAAAATGTTAGCCAAATATCCCCAGTTTGCTAACTGTAGGGAGTAAATACGAGGGATTGAAACCTTTCCACCGTTGCCAACTAGTTAGGTTGTGCATGATAAGCAAATCAACTTATTTAACTAGCTTACCGAATATGTAAGTTGCTTAGCTTTTTTGTTTTTAGTTTTAGCTAAATGAATTTGGGGGTTCAGTTACCGAACCCATTACGTGTGTCTGTAACCTTCTCTCTATGAACACAGTGTGGATGAGATTATAGACATCCAGGTACTCACGTGGTGGTATGGATGAGGTTATAGAAACCCAGGTACTCACGCGGTGGTATGGATGAGGTTATAGAGACCCCAGGTACTCACGTGGTGGTGTGGATGAGATTATAGAGACCCCAGGTACTCTCGTGGTGGTGTGGATAAGGTCATAGACATCCAGGTACTCACGTGGGGATATGGATGAGGTTATAGAGACCCCAGGTACTCACGTGGTGGTGTGGATGAGATTATAGAGACCCCAGGTACTCTCGTGGTGGTGTGGATAAGGTCATAGACATCCAGGTACTCACGTGGGGATATGGATGAGGTTATAGAGACCCCAGGTACTCACGTGGTGGTGTGGATGAGATTATAGAGACCCCAGGTACTCACGTGGTGGTGTGGATGAGATTATAGAGACCCCAGGTACTCACGTGGTGGTATGGATGAGGTCACAGAGACCCAGGTACTCACGTGGTGGTGTGGATAAGGTCATAGACATCCAGGTACTCACGTGGTGGTGTGGATAAGGTTGTAGAGGGTGCCACCTGAGAGGTACTCCAGCAGCATGAAGGGCCGGGCGGCACCAGTGCACACCCCCATCAGGAGGACAATCCGTGGGTGATGGAGCTGCTGCAGGAGAGCCGCCTCTGACCTGAAGTAGTTCTTGTCATCCTGCAGGGAGTCAGGCACTTGAGAGATGGTTATAATACTAGGTTACCGTGTACAGGTTACGTTACTTTAACGTGTAGGTCAAAGATAAGAGGTTAAGGACCTGGTATGCGTGTTAGTGGCTTTGCTTTAATGTAAGGACACAAATGTTATGTATTCCTACAATGTACTTTCTTGTATATAAATAAATAAAATAAAAATAATTGTCTTATCATTTTATCAAGCTGGATTCCAGTAATATTTGAAATTTTGAGGAATATTAATCCAGACCACGTCTTTAAAAGCTCTGATGAGAACAAAATAAAACAAAACAAGAGAACAACGGTTTCAAGCTCAAAAAGCCACAATATTGGACTGAAAACAGACGCTTTTCCACCCACAGGGTTGTAAACCAATGGAACCGCCTACCCGCCCAAGCCGTGAATGAACAGTTAAAATTTGACAGTCTCTTACCCTGGCTTACCCGACAGCCACCAAATGACAAACAAGTAATCAAGTGATACACCCAGAAATAGTTAACAAGTGACATAATAACAATCAAGTACATAAACAGAGATATTTACCTGAGAAAGTTTGAACTTGAGTTCCTTGACGGCGACCTCCGTGCCGCAGTAGGCGCCGCGGTACACGGTGGAGAAGGAGCCCTCGCCCACCACGTCCCCGGGCCGCCACTCCACGCCCGACACACTCACCTCACACTTGTTCAACATGTCCCCGGACCGCAGCCGCTCCAACTCGTTCTCCAGACTCCTGCAAAAGTTCGTGAATTTCAAGTTTGACTCATTCTACCAAGTGCACGTAATTCAAATTCTGCTCATTCGCCAAGGGCATTTATTTCAAGCTCATCGCATTTCAAGTTCAGGTCACTCTCCAGACTTGAAGTATACGTAGTGTATATTGTAGTGAGTGATGATAAGTCAACCTTCCATCTATTGTAGGGAAGATTGGCTTGTTTAAATCGCCAGGGATGGTCTAGGGTTTCCTTACTAAAGCTATCTTGAGATGATTTCGGGGCTTTAGTGTCCCCGCGGCCCGGTCCTCGACCAGGCCTCCACCCCCAGGAAGCAGCCCGTGACAGCTGACTAACACATAGGTACCTATTTTACTGCTAGGTAACAGGGGCATAGGGTGAAAGAAACTCTGCCCGTTGTTTCTCGCCGGTGCCTGGGATCGAACCCAGGACCACAGGATCACAAGTCCAATGTGCTGTCCGCTCGGCCGACCGGCTCCCTCAAGCTTAAGGCATTAAAATAACCTAGCCTCTCATAGGCCTGACATACCAAGATGTAATTTAAATATTTGCAAGGATGATGAGCCGAAGCTGGCGCACGAGGTGAGGTCTACTCACCTGATCTGTTGACGGTGTTGCTTGGTCTGGGTCACCATCTGGTTGAGGAGGTCACGCTTGCTTAGCGTGAGGGACATTTTGCCTGGGCCCTCCTCATTCCTCACCGGCGACCCTCGTGATTCACGTGACCCTCGGCTCCCTGACCCTCCGCCGTCACCCGCGGCAGCCGTCTTCCTCTCCGGCGACGCCACCTGGAGGAACAGAGAAAGAATTAGTGAGAAATGCATCATATTTGGAACCAAGCCCTTTGGTAAGATATTCTACAGACCTTCCAATTGTTTTACTGGTATACACTTGCTGATTTATGGAACAGAATAAACGAGGAATCGATGAATCGTTTCAAGTGTAGGTCTGGAGGCCTGGTCGGAGACCGGACCGCGAGGACGTTTTTTCTGTCAGCCGTCCTGTCAGGCGTCAGTTCCTGTCAAGTGTCTATGAGGCAGCTTAAGCGTTGGTTGCTATCCACACTTGGTCAAGAGTATAACGGGTTATGTACATAAAGTGAGGAAAGTAATAGTGTACTTACTGTGTTGCTGGGATGGGCGAGGTCTTGGTCTTTGGAGAGGTCAGAGGTCAGAGGGTCAGGCTGCCCAGAGTACAGGGAAGGAGGCCTCGTCCCAACCACCTCAAGCGCCGGTACACCTGTCATTATGAGGGTCACATATGTGGTCACATGTATTGTAGTATTGCTCTCCCTCCCTCCCTCCCCGTGGTAAAACACTCGTCCGGCTCTTCGCGAGCGCTTTGACATGGGTTCGTATCCTGGCCGGGGAGGATTGACTGGGCGCCAATCCTTAACCGTAGCCTTTCTTCACCCAGCAGTAATTGGGTACCTGGTTGTTAAACGATTTAGCAGGTCGTATTCCGGGGAAAAATTAGGATTAAGGACCTGCCGGAAACGCTACGCGTACTAGTGGTGTAACACCACTCTATTGTAACACCACCCTAAAATGTACCACCATAATGGAACACCACTATAATGGAACACTAAACTATCCTGAGTAACACTTCCTCATCGGTTGCCCTTGATAACACTGTTATGAGCTGACATATGATGGTTACACCGGAACCAAATTAAGGTACACTGCCAATAAGGAAATGCTAACACAAAGATTAAATACGCTGCCACCATCTGCCTTTGACCATTGAAACTATATCAAGCAACGAGGCAAGAAACATTGCTTGACTTGGAGAGTACTTCTATGACTGTCATTAATTATGAAAACGGTTGTCAGCCACTATATCCAAAAGGCTAAGAGGATTCAACAATTGACACAGACGGGAAATTTCACGTAAGTTTATTGAGACCAAAATTATGTCAATCACCAATTATAAATCCTACCCTATCACTGGCAAAAAGTTAAGAAATTTGGACATGGAACAAAAACTCAGAGATCACACACATTACCTTAAGCTATCTGTCTCTCCCTGGCTGAGATGTTCTTCACAGCCCCGCTCTCGATCCCGGTGTACCGCACTCTGCCTCTCTAAGTCCCTAAAGGACCTCTATATACAACCCCCACAGGGGGAGGGGGAGATCTGCTGTTGCTACCCACCAAGAGTGTACAAACACTCAAGAAATATTTCAAAAAGCTTGTTTGACATTCACCCTACACTCTTCAAGAGAGGAGTTATTAATTACATGTGACTGACCTCTGACCTGGCCAAAAGGGGGAGATCCAGGGATGTTTACACATAAGAATCTGGAGTCTAATTTCCTTGCATGAAATATTACATACTTGAAACTATGCTGACTAAGACTAACCCAGGAATTTTTAATCAATATACAAGATAAACCGGAGGTCATCTGGGCTGACCTCTTGGAGAAGGCTTCCCTGGGTGTGAACTCTAAGGGGGGGGGGGGGTCCTGGGTGTTACAGACCCCATCGAGGCCACTAGATTTCGTGCCTTTATGGTTAATTCAGGTAATTCCTAATGTGTGTGTGTCCATACTGTGTCTGGATCCTTGTTGAGATACTTGTAGCCAAGTGGTATTGGAGCAGAGCAGGATCACCTCCGGTTTACACCCCGTGTGTGTGTGTGTGTGTGTGTGTGTGTGTGTGTGTGTGTGTGTGTGTGTGTGTGTGTGTGTGTGTCTCACTGGGTGACTGGGGAGCGGCCCCAGCACCGGGACCACCAATCAACCCAGGGAGCGGTACCAACGCTTGGATTCGAGCAGACTGACAGGCCCATCGCGCTCTCACAAGACGGGTGATTATCATGGACAGTGTGTGTGTGTGTGTGTGTGTGTGTGTGTGTGTGTGTGTGTGTGTGTGTGTGTGTGTGTGTGTGTGTGTGTGTGTGTGTGTGCGCGCGCGCGCGCGCGCGTGCGTGTGTGTGTGAAATATATATATGTATTAAATATAATAGAGGAAAAATAGATTGGTTAAAAAGTCGGGGTCCAAGAGATAATAGTTCGACTCTGCAGACACAAATAGTAAATACACACACACACACACACACACACACACACACACACACACACACACACACACACACACACACACACACACACACACACACCCTTGTGTGCGTACAGGTGAGTACATACACCTCAAGGTTGCCCAAGGAACCGTCTTCGCTTCCATGGACGTAGTCGAGCGAATACGAAATATGAGATTTATCTTCTCAACAAAATATCAATATGTATCATTACCAACATGAAGTACACACCAGCGCCAAATGCCCCCCTAACAGCCCAACTACCTAACGCCAAACTGCCAAATGCGAACCCTTACGAAATTTTGAGTGTATCAGTACAAACGTCAATGCTATGGGCAACTAGTGGAAAGACTGATCACCAACACAGGTGCAAATGTCTACTAAGACCTCTGTTCACCCAGCAGTGAATGGGTACCTGGTTGTTAAACGATTCGGCGGGGTCGTATTCCGGGGAAATTAGGGTTAAGGACCTGCCCGAAACGCTACGCGTACTAGTGGCTTTACAAGAATGTATGTAAAAGACAGTTTAAAGACTAAACTACTCGGGTGGTAATCCCACTAGACGGGAACAGCAGCTGGTTCTTCCCGCCGCCGACGGCTCCTGCTTCACCAATCGTGTCACGAGATGCTTCGAGCAGTCCGCCGGCCGCACTTCGAATCTTTGGCTCGCTGACCGCAAGTCTCTCCAACAGCTGTCTGGCGCGGGCTTCCAGCCTCTCTCCCCCGCCCGCACCTCCACACCTTTTGTCTACATGGTTTACCTCAAGCGGCTCACGTCAAGGTTGGTTGCTTAGTCGTCTTGTAGGTTAACAGGTCTGTGTAAAATGATACGTAATAACAAATGAAGGTCTCTGGCACCCCGGGAGCCGGTTGGCCGAGCGGACAGCACGCTGGACTTGTGATCCTGTGGTCCTGGGTTCGATCCCAGGCGCCGGCGAGAAACATTGGGCAGAGTTTCTTTTACCCTGTTACCTAGCAGTAAAATAGGTACCTGGGTGTTAGTCAGCTGTCACGGGCTGCTTCCTGGGGGTGGAGGCCTGGTCGAGGACCGGGCCGCGGGGACACGAAAAAGCCCCGAAATCATCTCAAGATAACCCCCTCTCAACGGTCCTCTCTCTCTCCCTAAAGATATTTGTGGCACTGTTTGAATGTCCTCCTGCCGCTGGCGGCGGCTGTGTATCATATGAGCGCCTTACTGGGGGTAAATTTGTATAAAAATTATAGGAATTACTGTTTTATGGGGGACTGGTGAGGGGGGGGGAGTGAGCAGGTGTGGAGGTGATTACAGTATCTAATAAGGTAATTAAGACAGCTTGTGTGTCATGAATAAAACATTTCTACTCCTCGGTTCGTCCTGTTCTTAGGTCCCTAACCCACTTACACCCCCTCCTTATCCACCCCCACCCATTCTCCCCCCCCCCATGCCCCCCACCACCCTCATTAGCCTCCCCTAACTCTCAACATAAATATCTTGACGTGATAATCTCAACATAAATGAGGCTGTTAGAGCAGCAATTCAATCTCACTTAACTGTTAACTACCCACCAAGAGTATGCGTCCTAGCTGGGCTTAAATATAATAATATAATGTAATTATGTATATAAATAAAAATAAAAATATTATATATATATTTATAAATATATATAACATATGACGAGTGTGAGGTTATTAGTTTAAGAATTCGAGAGAGATCTCAAATACAACACAGAATGTATGGAAGACAAGTTCCCACGTGAGAGAGAGAGAGAGAGAGAGAGAGAGAGAGAGAGAGAGAGAGAGAGAGAGAGAGAGAGAGAGAGAGAGAGAGAGAGAGAGAGAGAGAGAGAGACAGACAGACTTGGGAGTCGACACCACTTCTATCATAACACCAGTGACACAACAAAACAACGTTGGTACCATACTTGCTAACGTACCGAGAGCTCCCATGAACGTGCACCAAGGAGTCTTAAAAAAGCTATATACTACCCTTGTGAGACACACTCTTGAGTATGCAGCCCCGGCATGGAACCCCCCTACATAAAAAAATAAGACATTTATGAAAGCTCCAAAGATATACTACATAGGGCTCGTTCCTGAGCTAAGGGGACTGAGCTAGAATAAAGATTGAGGGTAGTGCACGCATCTACTCTGTAGAAAAGAAGAAATGGGACATGATAATGACATACAAGATTATTGGGGTAATTGATCAAGTACTCACAGAGTGCCAATATTTGCAGTTTAGAACAATAGCACCAGAGGGCATATTTGGAGACTGGAGACACAAATCAAACCCAATGTACCTTCTTGTATATAAATAAATAAATAAATAAATAAATAAATAAATAAATAAATGAATCAGTTTTCAGTATAAATGGACAAGCACAAATTAGAAAGAGTGTGAAGGTAGGCAACAAGGATCGTTCCTTAGCTGAAGGGTTTGGGCTATGAGGAAAGATTGAGAGAACTGAACCTTATCCACTGGAGGAAAGGAAACACAGATGAGACATGACAACAACATATAAGATTCTAATGGAAATTAAACAAGGTAGACACAGCAGCGTTGTTCAAGGTTAGGAACAGAAGAACGAGGGATCATGTATATATGATAGAAGCGTGAATAACGGCTCATTGCATTAATCTACATTGAGAAGGCGGGGCCAGGAGCCTAGCTCGACCCTGTAAGCACATCTAGGTGAGTACATTTAAGGTGAGTATACAGTATTCACGAATTCTCATTCACTCTCTCTCTCTCTCTCTCTCTCTCTCTCTCTCTCTCTCTCTCTCTCTCTCTCTCTCTCTCTCTCTCTCTCTCGAAGTATAGAAATGAGGAATACAGTGAGAGTTATGAAAGCAGGCGGGCTGTCCGCCTTACTGACACGATGTGTGGGTGTTGGCAGCTAAGTTAAGCTGGCTCCCTCTTGTCAGGGAGCTGTGAGTGTGTGAGAGGTTCTCTCTCTCTCTCTCTCTCTCTCTCTCTCTCTCTCTCTCTCTCTCTCTCTCTCTCTCTCTCTCTCTCTCTCTCTCTCTCTCTCCCTCTCCCTCCCCCTCCCCCCCACCAGCTGTCACCACAGTGTTGTGGTTCACAGGACAATAAAGGAGTCTCGTCTGGCTGTGTTAACCTCACCAGTTTCCTCCAGGTAACGAACAGTAAACGACTTCCGCTCACCTGACTTTCCCACCAAGGTGACACGCGCACTTGTCACCGAAAATAATTACCATCT